GACATATTTGCAGGTATGTCTTCCTGGTTTTTTCATTATTATTTTTCAAGCATCTGTTTAAAGAATGAGAAAGACGATAAAAAAATGTAAATCAAATTCCTACTACAGGTTCCTATATTTAATCATAAAATGTACATATTATGATCACTTTGCATCACACTTGTCTCCCTTAACTTTTTTAAAAATGGGTTGAAGCAAAATAACTTTATAGAAAGCATCAGGTCTACTAACCATGTAAGAATGAATATATGAACTCTCCACATTATCAGAATTGAGAGGTTTCAGACAATAATACAGTAAGTATTCTCTGTGTATTGTTTCCCTTAATTATTTGTGCATGAAACACAAGTTTGCCTTTCACATCAATATAATTGCTTTCAACAGAACATTTGCACAGGGGATAATTTTTGTGTATTTAACGTGATCAGAAAAATAACCCCTGTGCAATATTTCATGTGTACAATATCACATTTAAATATCAAGTATTTACAGTTTTCCCTCTGTCATTTCTATAAATAATTCATCCACAAATTGTAAAAAACAAAAATGGCCATATAGTTTAAACTCATGCATATGCATTAATAAAATGAAAGGTTTTTATTATGACCTTTTGTTAAAGACATTCATACCTTATAGATCGTGTTGGTAGCTGGAAGGCCATATGATTTTCTTCCATTTCATTTCTAAGCTCCTCCAATTCCTTCTTGAGATGACGTTCAGCATCTTTCACCTTGTCTGTGCTTGATACCTTATACAGTTCTCCTAGGTCATACATCTTTGTATCTTACTGACTGCAACCTAAAGCTAAAAATCATTTTAAATATTAAATCGGTCATTATATATGTCTGGAAAACACTTAAATGACTTAATCTTTAAGAACATTCACTACGGACTGATATTTACAAAATGTATGTTAACATTTCTCTCATTTTCAATATTTTTTTTCTTTACACAGGCTTCTGTTAGACATTTATATAGAGACAACCATCACAACTTGACAACACAAGGATTGAAATGTAGAACGTCATCATTTTCATTATTATTTCACTAAAAATTTACCAATGTTATTTTTTCCTTTTAAAATCACCCTTTTCAGCTCATTAAATTCTCAGAAAAAAGGTGTACTTCATCTCAGGTACTTCTAGATCTGACAATCAAAGTAATAAAAAGCACTGATAGGAAGACTTGAAGAGTTGTGCGCATAATTTCAAATCATATTCTCAGGTATTTTGGCAAACAAAACAAAAAAAACTCTTGCATTAAATTCAGAAAGATAACTGTTTTTTTATTCAGTTGATAAAACAAGCTTGCCTCCCTAAATTTACTTGTAAAAGGTTGCTTTCTGAAGCATTTCTATGTTTAAACATAAGTATACAATTTTTCTAACTCATCTTAAGATCATTTATTGATTTTTGATAAAGATTATATGACACTGAAGGTTTTATTTCATTTCCATAATATTCCTAAAAAAATTGTATTCAATGGCCCATGAATCGAGAATTTCTCAATATTGATAAAATTATTTTGATATTTCAATTTTTAGAAGGGGTACAGATTTTTCTTATCTTCCTTTTTTCAATTAAATAATTTTGACATGATTTGAAATAGAAATCTTCAAAGGAAGGTCATGTATATTTTTTCATTGAAGTTTGACTTAATAATTTCCAGAAAGAGGCATTGAAAATGCACTTTTTCAACAACAAAAATTAAATAACTAATCATTTTTTTTTAAATTGGTGTTCATTCTTCATAGAGAACAAAATAAATCTTGTATTCAAATACATGTACAAATACCTTTGTCAATTTATACAATATAATGGGGAATAAACAAATAAATTTGATTGCAGAAAATGTCCAGGTTAGAGTTATGCAATTTTGTTTCAAGTAGATTAATGAAAATTGTAACTTAAATTAACCTAAATTATTGACTAATATCAGACGATTATAATACTATTTTATTAAAGTTGTCACTGATTTTACAAGAAAAATAGACCCTGCTTGCATTTTTTCTACATATTTTGTTTTTTGTCTTTTCTTTTAAAAAAATACACCTTTTTAATCCTTAATCATTCATCTATGAGACATAATTTACAGAATAGTTTTATGTAGTGTAGATCAAAAGTGATTGAATACACAACTATTGACGTCAATACTTGTGTATTCCATTATTTAATACAAGAGGTATCAACTGTGGTCAATTCAGGTTGGTATAAAAGTTAGTGTATTTGTTTGTAAATTATGATAATTGTCTACCATGCTGTATATATTGTATCAGAACTCTTGTTTGCCTATGGAAAGAATTGGAATAATAGCATTTCAAAAAAGTGTGGGAATGAACTTTCATATCAATACACATATAATATACCAAATTTTATTCAATTACTTCAATTCAAGCATTAGATACTGATAAAATACTTTCATAATTCTTATCAACTGCTTAAATTAGATATGTTACTTTTTCACATTAATTTATACATAGTAATTTATTATAAATTTTGATTTACAAAGGGACTATATGCAAGTGAAAATTTAAAATAAAGTAGCTGTTCGACCAATACTTTCTTAATTTAAGGGTAAATAACATGTCAAAAGTTGGCAGTAGATGATAAAAATGGAGTATAAAGTTTCAGCAAGTCATAAAATCACATAATTAGTTTCATAATATGTCTTAAACTTAGAATTCTGCACCATCTCCAAATCTGGAGTGATCACATAGATCCAGCATACATTTTGTAGCTGAATCAAAAAAGTCAGCAGGCTTGTGAAACAGCACAGGTGTTGATATCACTGTGAATTAAGTGAAAACAGTTGATGCTTTAAAGTGGCTGAATATATATAACATAAAGAAGCACTACAGACTACAGAGCTGACTCTGTGATGTACAAAATGTATATGCTATGGACTACAAAATTAAGAATCAGGTTTTTTATTTATGGGATAATTCCTATTTATTTACGAGGTTATGACCAGTCACCAAAATGAGTTAATGATAACCTGTTTGTGATATACATGTACATGTAATACCAAAAATAGGATATAAATATATTATGTGCAAAACATTTTTATTTTTCATTTCAGCTAAAAGGCTCTCAATTGCATCTGTTAAGATCATTAAAATCAACTTTTGGTTGGCCACTTTTCCAGAAAATAAATAAGTTGCTATGTTGATCCCTCTGAAACTTCCATCTTCCAAGGCATTAATTTCATAATCAAGAAAATATCCAGAAAGTTGTTGTCTCTACTGTAATCATTGTATCTTATATGCTCCTGAAAGAAGTATATATAGTACAGGGGTCGATTTTGGTCTACAGTGGGATAATTCTATTATGGTAAAAAAAAATCTTCAACAACATGACAAAATTATTCTGGTTTTTTGTTTATTATTATAAAAAACATGTGATTTTCATTAAATTTGTATCTGATTACACCAAAAGGATCGAGCATACTATTTTGAAGCTATTTTTAATTACTGAACGGTATGATAAGTAAAACAAGCATGCACCAAATAACCTTTTGTTTTAGCACAGAAAACTTATATCTAATTTAGGATATTGCATATACTAACCAATTTGGGTGACTGGTCTCAACCTGTTTAAAGCAATAAAGGGCTTGTTTGTTATTTTTTTTGTAAATACAAGCTTCAATGATAATGGAGCGCTCATTAGTTCACATTATAGTTGTACTTTTTAATAAATAATTTGCCTTATATGTCAGTTATTACAGAAAAGGATCAGGCTGACAGGTCTAAGCTACATGTTTTGACACTGTGAATGTGATATCAGGAATTTGTTATGATACTGCAACTTGCAAGTCTGTTTTCATAACATTATTGTATGCCTACAAGTTATTTCCTTGGTGACTCTTTCTTTGCAATGCAGCTTTTTATTCAAATAGCATACTAAAGCTTTGTGCAAAGTGCCTGGTTATTGTTTATTCTGTCATTTCACAGGTTTGTTTATATTTTGCAAGCGAGTTCAAGTGCGTTCGGAGTCACTCGGCAACCAGAATCGGTGACAGAAATGTTCATCTGATTCGCTGATGAAAATATCCTGTACAAAACGCTTTAAAGATTACGTTTACGAAAATTCCGCGGGAATTAAATCAGAGTATGTGCGTTCGAATATCAAGCGTGAAGCAACTTAAAACGCAGAATTAACCAGAGTTTTAAAGCAAGGGATCGATGTATTAAAACAAAGAAACGTTTAAGGAGTAAAATAAAAAAAGTAGTCTAAATAGTTATTTCAAACCACTATCGCACATTAAAAAAATATATGGCAAACTATGTTATTTCTGCTGCTGGATAACTCGGCCTATGATTTATAGATTATGTTTTTCACTGTTATTTTTTTCTTCTTATTTATATTTTACCTAATTTATTATAACTTTATACATGAATTTACAAGATGAGAATAGCATACGACCTAGGACATAATATATTAATATGATAGTCCCAGATACGACATATTGTTATATATTTATATATAAATGTACGTATGAGGAAAATAAACTTAGATCCATAAGATATTGTTACATATGTGATTATATTGAATAAAGTTTAATTGAAATATAAGTTTAAACATAATACTTTAAAGTTATGGATAAATAATTTCTATTTGATATTTTATTGTGAATTTCTCGTTTTTACTTTTACTGTAGGTATGGGCAGGGAGCCCGGACAGTCTATAGTTAGTATAGAAAGTCCCTGGTATGGAGTGTTTCCCCCCTGATAACTCAGCCTAAAACGTTATTTCTGGCTGAGACTACTATAACACATTGTTTCTGGCAAGAGGATGAATGTCTTATGCATTAATTATGCCCTTAAATTTTAGAAGTGTGCTTTAGTTGTGCTATAAATTAGTTTTGCTTACTTTTTAGTTGTGCTTTAATTATAGTAATGCTTCAGTTTTAGCATCTTAACATGTGTAGCTTAGTAGTGCTTTGCATGTATTTCAATATGCCTGTGCTGTATCTTTGCATTGTAATATATGCCGCTCATATATGTGACTGCGACTGACAAAAAGGGCCCAGATGCGGCATTTACGATTTCGTATTATGACGTCGTAAAGTTGACGTTGTCAAATCTAAACGAGCACCTGTATTTCGTAATTACCGATTTGCAATTAGGTTTTGAAAAGGGTTGAAAATAGACTGAACTTTTGATACTTATAAAATTGTATAATATTTCTACATCAATTATTAAAAAATATTTATTTTGATTACCTTGAAATGCATAGCATGGAGCGTAAACCAGTCACAAAACTTTTAATTGTCCCCCTTTGTATTTACATTGGATACAAAAGTACAAATGGCGGTCTTAGTATAAAACAGATAAAATGAGCCAGGAAAGTCGATTTTCGGCAAGTCAGAGTAGCATACCGCCTGAGATTTTGCAGAACCAAGATGATGATTTCATAAATGAGTTGAATAGGGTCGACGAATTATATTTTTACGATTACGAATGCCCCGAGTCCGAGATTAATTCTGATGTTGAAAACTTTGAATCTGACAATGACGACGACAATGTCGATCATTTAGTCGAACCTTCAGATGACGATACACGAGAATATATTGCACAGGCCCGTTTCAGAAATGACACTTGCGGGTGCAAAGAATTTTATGGCGAACCTTGTAGCCAAATCATTGAAATGGACGCCGTTATTGAATTCCGAGAGCACTGCAAGGAACTTTCTAAAGATGAACTTGATATGATAATCAAGGCTGAATTGTTTGCACACAGGCGTTCTGGTAGTGTCACTGAAGCCAAGAAACACAAAATTAAAGAAAGGGAACGCCCATACCAGGAGTTTTATTTCAAAGGAAAGCGAGTATGTAGACAGACATTTTGTTTTATCCATGGGGTTGAAAAGAAGAAATTACTTTCTATTGCAAAATCACTAGATGTAGATGGACTATCTCCTAGAACTTATGCTAGCACAGGGAAACTTCCAAAACATGCCCTTACATTTCAGGATTCAGAAAGGATAAAAACATTTCTTATCAAATATGCTACTGATAATGCTTTGCCTCTACCAGGCAGGTTGCCTAATTACAAGAACCATCAAGTTTTGTTGTTACCATCTGACAAAAATTCAGTTGACATTCATGCAGAATATGAAAAACTTGCAATAAATATGAAGTATAGAAGTGTGAGTGTAAGAACATTTCAAAGACAGTGGCATGATTTATGTCCCAATATTGTAGTTACAAAGCCATGTACTGATTTATGTCAAAAGTGTCAGGAATATGCTGGTAAAATATCTAATAGTGGAAATCTGTCTGAAGAGGAAAAACAGTTATTGTTAAATCACTATAATATCCATGTACAACTCGCAAAAGAACAAAGAGACTACTACCGTGAGCAGGTTAAACTTAGCAAACAAAACTACATGGACTTGCCAGATGCACTGAAACAATCAGGTAATATATGTATATATATATAAAGGTTAAATAGTTTATTCCACCAAAGTACATGTATGTCTTCTGTATTAATATTACATATCTCTTTATGTCTCTCCTAAATATCTGTTCATATTCATAAAACATACTTTTGAATATTTTTATTATTATTTATATAATACGTTTCAAGTCCTTACCAAATAGTCAGTGCATGCATTTTGTGTAAGTGGTGAACTTTATTCCATACTTTTGTTCACATGTGACAGTACATTCAGTTGTATATAATTGGTCAACTTTATTCCAGACAACCATTAATCATGTTAATCATGTTAAAAACATACACAAATTCACAATCTTGACACTTCTACTTCTAAACATAGATGTACATATGTACATGTCTCAATATACAATGTTCATGTATCCTTTTTGGACTCAATATTACTTGGATTAGATAAATTAGATTCAATTGTACTACCATGGCTGCAGGAATATTTTTTTTAATATTGAACAGGCTATCCTCAATCTTATGTATTTAGTTGTTAACTCTTACATGTGTTTTACAGGAAATTCTCCACAGTCAGTACAGACCACTCTACACTATTCCTGGGATTATGCCCAACAAGTTCACTTTCCTCACCATGCTCAGCAAGTGGGACCCATTTATTTCAAAACACCAAGAAAATGTAATGTGTTTGGAGTCTGCTCAGAAGGATCTGGTAATTTTTTATTGGTTTTTTATTACATTAAATATATGCTTTTGATAGTTAGAAACAATAACATGAACATGTGATTTATTATAATTTATAGTTTTAAAACAGACTGATGGACATAATCACTGGACATACAAATATATATTTAATGTACATGATCATTGACTTGTAAGGTGCAGTTTTCAAGATCAATAACTCTGATATAAATAACTATACCCTTATGATTCATGTATGTATTGAGTTAAGTTACATACATGTATATGGAAATAGATTTCTTAAACATGATTTATCTTTATTTATTTACCTCTATTGCACACATCATGTACTAGTACATGTTAAATTGTACTTTGTGAATATACTATTGTATTAGATATGTATGCTTTTGGTTTAAATGTTTTCAAAATGGCTAATGGTAAATTTTGTATGTAATGTTTTGTAGGAAAACAAAGTTTCTATTTGATTGATGAAGCTGAAAGTATTGGCAAAGGAGCACACTCTGTTGTTAGTATGGTGCATCACTATTTTAACAAATTTGGTCATGGAGAGACTGATGCTAAAATCCATTTTGACAACTGCACTGGTCAGAACAAGAATAATGTAGTATTATGGTATGCATTATGGAGAGTAATGACAGGTAATTATTATTTGATTATGTTACATTATTTCACAAAGTGTTATATTATATTCAAACTATAACCAAGACAACAATTTATTTATAAAAGTTTAAAATTCTCTTTTTAAATAAACAACACTGATTTTATTCTATCTGTATTTTTAGATTAAGACATACCACATCTTCTTTTTTTATATTAACAATGTATGCAGAATATGTTATAGTGATAGTTCTGTGATTAGAATCAACATTTCATGTTATCAACCTTCAAAAGATTTATTTATTTTTATAAGTACAGATGTATATATTTTGCATACAATATTTATTTCTAGTATGACAACTTTAGTTACTGGTATCTTGTTAACTTTCTCATTTTGGTATTTGCTTTTTTAAAATAAGTATTTTTTGTAATATAATTTTTATTTTTGTTTTGCCAGGATTACACAAAAGCATAGAATACTCAATGATGATTGCAGGACATACCAAGTTTGAGCCTGATTGGCATTTTGGTGTTTGGAAGTTACACTGGAGAAATTCAGCAGCAGAAACATTATCAGAGGTAGATAATGGTAGTTTATATAATAATTAAAACTACAATTTAATATACTAGTACATGTATAAACATTATTACTTGATTTAAGATAGAACTATTAATGTTTTTTTTTTCTAAAGTCATTTCAAATAGTCAATATTTCACCTATTCAATATGATCAAAGGGCAATAACTCTTACACATATGAAACCTGGATTAGTTCTTTGGATTAATGACATAACATTAGTTTCTTAAAATGTTTTATCTTGTACACAAATTACAAAATGTACTCATAATTGATTCAAGCATAGACAGCATATCCAGTTTTTACCTGAGTTAGTTTCTAAATTTATAGATTTATCTGACTTGCATATTATTGTCATCTGTTTTTGATGTCTGGCTGTATTTTACTGTAAAGTCACCTTTTCAAATTTTCTTTTTTTAAATCTGTATGTATTTGTAAGTACTCTCAAATCATTTATGAAAAGTCTTGCAGTTGATTTATTGTTCTTTGTTTTATTACAGGTAGCTGAAACTGTGACAAGGTCCAGCAGAAATGGACACAACATACCACAAGTTGTAGGAAATATACAAGATCCTGTAATGTTTTATGAATGGAAGCCTTATTTGCAACAGTACTTTAAAACTTTGAAACATATAACTGACTATCATCATTTTTACATGGATTCACAACACCCAGGAGTAGTAACATGCAGAGAAAATGCATCTTCAGAATCATATACATTCAATTTACTGAAATGCAAAACTAAAACTCCACCAGGAGGTGAGCTTCCTCAACCATCTAACATCAAAATTCTTGAACCTGCCAGGCAGTGGTATTTATATGAGCAGATAAGACAGCACTGCTACTCAGATTCAGCTAAGAACATTACATGTCCGAAACCACTGGTTCCTAAAAAGGAAATAGACTTAACACAACAAGACCAACACAATGCCAAATCCAATGGAGGAAGAAAAAAGGCTCTGCTGAACTAAATAAAATGATAAAATATTTCAGTGAAAATTATTTGAATTTTAACACAATGCTTGTTGTACTATTTAAAAATAAAGAGATGTGTTATGATTACCAATGAGACAAGTTTCCACCTAAGTTCAAATAAAGTGGATGTAAGCAATTATAGGCACATGTATGGCCTTCAACAATGAGAAAACCCATACTGTATAGTCAGTTATGAAACAGTTCAATTGAGAAAAGTAAAGGACTAATTAAAAACAAAACAATTTACCAAAAAAAATATGGCAGACATGAACCAATAACCTGTACATACAAAATTAATGAAGTAAACAAATTAAGCAATTCTATGATTACTAGAAATGACCTATTAATAAAAAGTCAAACTCAAAGTGGATGTTGTGTAAGCTTATATGAGACAATCACCAGAAAAAAATGAACTATTTCAAAATAAAAATGTATTTTGAAATTATTTTACTCTATCAAGGCAACAAATTGTTATTTTAGTAAATAATGGCACAACAAATATCCCATATCGGATGGTGAGGATTGGGGTTTACAGAATAGAGAAAAATGAGCAAAAAGAAAATAAAAGTACCAAAAAGATAAAGAATAGAAAATACAATGTACTGGGTGAAAAGTATTAACAAAATTGAAATGGACCCACCATCCAGACCCTCATAGCCTATATATTTATCTATTATAAAAAGAAACCATTTGTTTCTTCTTTTATATACATGTACTTTGAAATTTAAAGTTCATCACACAATCTGAAAAAAATTAGAAAAATTAAAAAAATTAAAAAAAATTGGTTGCCATGGTCATGATGGTAACCGATTTAACAGTTCAAAATATAAATCAGTTAGAATAAATCATACTTTTTCAAATTATTTGACAAACATTAAACATAAACTTAAGGTGTCTAATTATAAAATGAACAATTTTGGAAGTATACACATTTACAAGAAAAAGTCTTGAGTTTTTCGAATGATATCTTCAATTTGTCAATTTATTTCCAAGATACATGTAAGTTACGAATCATGAAATGTTTATTTTCTCAGAAACTACTTGTGCTATCCCCTTGAAATTTTTACAGAATGTTATTTATGACAATTAGGCTCCAAAAATGCAAAAAAATCAAAATATGTATTTTTCTCATCTGGACCCATTTTCTCAGTCATGGTCACATATCTTATCTGCATGCTCTCTGTTTTAATGTTATGTATGTGTTATTTATATTCAATAAAAAATCTCTCAAGAGCTTTTGTTTGTACGGTTATCATGATGTGAACCGAATAAAAATAAAACTTTCGTATTCGTATTCGTACTCATAAAAATATTAAGTCCCAGGTTATTTAAAAAATTCATGCGAATACATATTGTCTTATTTTTTATAATTTTGTCGAGCAAATTGGAATAGATGTTTGTAACACTGTTTTTGAAAAAACCTTTGCTGCAAAATTGATTTATAAAAGAAAATGGCTAAGTCCAATCCCCCAAAATCGATCATTACCAGAAATTGGATAGCATTTTTTATTTCAGAAACCCCGCTCAGTTGCCAGTTTTATTTTTATTGCCAATACACCAATTTCGAATTCTCGCTGGATAAAGTTTGCTCCGAGTGACCTTATTTTTGCGCCGATTGACATAATGACGTTTGCTGATTACTTTGGGTCTGTGAAAGTCATTTTTTAAAATTTTATTTTGACAAATAAGAAATAAATCAGTAGCATAAACTAACTGCATGTCATAATTCTCTGATTGCATCTTAGTTGTATTGGTTGAAGTGCTGTAAGAAACATATCAATAGTTCGTTAGGAAAAATTATTTTAGTCTCTGCATTTTAATCAAATGTGGTGTCTTAAACACTATTCCCCCAATCTGAGTGAGGGTACATGTGTTCCTTATTAGTATATTACCAGGAAAATGTCTCATGTGACTGGTCTATAATAACGTGTGGATATAAAATCTTCAGCTATTTTCATAGACCAATTTTCAAAGTGTACCAAATAGTCCTTATATTTATTACCATGACAAAACTAACCAAAATCTTTCTATTTTCCACAACTAAGTTTTCGAGTATGCCGGGCTGCACATTGTCACGGGAATTTCTACAGACTCTGACAACACATAAATCACAAGAATAAATAGTGAAAAAATCAACCAAAGTTAAATTCATTAAGGAAAAAATAGTTTCACAGTAAGAAAACCTGAAATTTGCCGGAAACAGCTATAAAAGCACCATCAGTTTAAAGCATGATGATTTATACTATGAAGACATCAAAACTGTAGATGTATTCGCATTAAATGTTTATATCGAAATAAGGTCTATTTGAATTCGCCTCATGGTTCAAAGTTTAAAAGTTGGAAGCCAGACCTTAGATATCTATAGTATTAAATCAGGTGTGTCACTCACAGACCCTTTATAATTTATAATATTTATTAATGATATGATATGTGATATCATGAAACATAGTTGTTGAGAACGAGTATGCTAAAGCTGAAATCATGCATTCAGTCAACAGTAGTTTACCGATGTTTAAAATCTCATAACAATTAAGACTATACAAATCAAGGTAAAAAAAAACTGAGGGAATCGCATGAACTCTAATAGGATCTAGACCGAGATCGACGATAGCGTACGCATCTCCTGCTATGAGTGCATCATCCACCATGCAAATGTCCCAATCGGAAATTGGACACAGTCGGTAAATGACAGATTAAACGACTATGCTTATATCTAAAGACATTAGGCCGCGAAAACATGTCTCAAGTGAGTTGAGACATGTACACCTCATATCGGTCAACCAATTCGTGGTTTATTTTCCAAGAGAACGTCTGTTGGTAAACTCATGTGAATTTGCAATTCATAAAGCTATACCCGACGCTTGAATCTTAAGTTAACCTTTTCACACAAATTCTCACGAAATCACCTGCAACTTATTCACACCAGAGTCATCAGGCATATTCTCGAATCATCTTCGCAAGTCAAAGATTGGATCCACGCATGGCATCAAAGAATTGATTTTTTCCAGTGACTGATAAAGGAGACCATAGAGGGGATATGAGAGTTGAAGAAAAAAACCTACAACAAGATCATGGACATCTCCTCAGTCAGAAACCTAGTTTAGATTGTCTTTTCATATCTTTGTGCTTTTTGTCATTGTGAAATTTGGTGTTCAAAGTCTTTTAACATATGACGATTTAGAGCTTGACATATTGTTTATAAACCTGTGTATTTTTGGATTAAGACTGTATTTTGTCCCCTGTTTTTTGGTCTGTTAACAGTTTTGTGTTGTTTGGTTACTGTCTCATTGACAAATACAAATAAAAATTTCTCTAAGTTTTGTGCTATTTTCGCATTTCTTGATCGATGTGAGAAAAATATTTCTCCTCACTTGTGAAATATCTGTTCTCGGCAAAGTATTGGGTAGCACTCCACAGTTAGAAAATAAAATTAAAATTGAACCACAAAATTTTTAATCATCTTCTATTCCTGGCTTTCTAATACATTAAGCCAACTGTTTGAAAATGTCACATATTCCCCCAAAATTTGGTTTAAATTAGAATTTCAATGCCTTTGAGTGATACCTTTTCTGCAACTATTGACATTAATCTACCAAATGATCTAATCAAATTTGGGTGTCTTTCGCTTCATTTTTTCGTAAAATTTAATCACAAAGTTCGTGCGACAAAAAGTTAGAAAAAAAATGCAATAATTGCCGGACCGATGTCTGGCATGGATATGAACATATGGACTGTCATACAGAAATCAGCCCATAATACATGCATTATACAATCTAGATGTTCCTATAACCCCACTATGAAGGCTATATCAATCTTCAGTTATCATGGCCAAAAATGAATTTTATTGCACACTAGCTCTCATATTTGAAAAATCCACAGGGGCCAAAATGCGAAACTACACACCTAACTGTGGAGTGCTACCGTGGTCAAAATTTAATTATGACGTCTAATTTTCTTGGTTTCTTCTGAATTTCCTATTGTGACGTCATGAAAAAAGGCGACCATGCCTGATGACGTCACATATAAAGACCACAACTTTCTGCAAATCTTTGAAAAGGAAGGATAAAAATCATTCTCACTCTCAAAAGTTAAATTTTAATTAATTAAAAAGCTCGGCAAGCCTCGCGCGTTAGATATTAAAATTTAACTGTCTCGAGTGGAGAAATATCGTAATACACTTGTTGCAGTGGTGAAACCTATATATTTCAATGGCATAAACTCATTAACAATAAATGGTTAAGACCTATTGCATACATGTATATAATAATATTAACAGACATAATAGAATGAAAAGTTACGTATTAATATATCATATTATTAAAGTACTCCTTGTATTCAGACACTCTGGAATGAAAGAGGAAGACATTCTCAGTAATCAGGCTGAGCTATTGTTTACCAATACAGATATTTTTTCACAGTGTTAATGTTACGCTGTATTTTAGATATAACATTTATTTTTATTTTTTGATATTTCTCGTTTTGATTTCAATCTAGTACATTGTGATAAGAAATGTTGTTCATCTTTGATTTCCCCATTATTACAGAAAGGACAGTTCCTTTCTTCTCTTGGGATATTAAGAAAACTTCCCCTTTTAATCATTAATGAATGTGCACTTATGCGTATTTTGCATATTGCTTCTCTTTATTGCTGCTCTATCATTTAATTGTTTAATAAATCAACATAAAATGGTCTTTCAACAATTGTGTAGGCTTTACGAAAGAAACAAAGTTTAGAAAATTCCTGTATGTTTGCATTTTGATTTTGCAAGCACTGATCATACATTCATTGTTTACGCCTGTTAAAACGTTTAAACCCGCTGCATTTGTATGCACCTGTCCTAAGTCAGGAGTCTGTTGTACAGAGGTTGTCGTTTGTTGGTGTGGTTCATAAGTGTTTCTTGTTTCTCGTTTTTTATATAGATTAGACCGTTGGTTTTCCTGTTTGAATTCTTTTAAACTAGTCATTTGGGGCCCTTTATAGCTTGCTGTTCGGTGTGAGGCAAGGCTCCGTGTTACAGGCCGTACTTTGACCTATAATTGTTTACTTTTTACACATTGTGAATTGGATGGAGAGTTGTCTCATTGGCACTCATACCACATCTTCTTATTCATATTAAGTGCTGTTTTGTTTTAAACAACTATTATCCGTAAGATATGAATATCCTAAATTTTGTAAAATACTTTTAGTTTTGTTAATCCAGGGGTTTTAAAACCTTGTAGCACAGAAACAATTTGATGTACAAGTGTATTTTCTTATGAAAGTATATGTTCCAAAAAAGTATACTTGAAAATACGATCTTACTTTTGAGTGGAATTCTACCAAGCTCAGCACGACAAGCATCGTATAACCCCGCCGCATTTTTGCGCCTGTCCCAAGTCAGGAGCCTCTGGCCTTTGTAAGTCTTGTATGTTTTTTTTTAAATTTTAGTTCCTTTATATGTTTTGGAGTTTATTGTGACGTCCATTTTCACTGAACCAGTACACAATTTTATTCAGGGGCCAGCTGAGGACCACCTCCGGGTGCGGGATTTTCTCGCTGCGTTGAAGACCCATTGGTGGCCTTCGGCTGTTATCTGCTCTTTGGTCGGGTTGTTGTCTCTTTGACATATTCCCCATTTCCATTCTCAGTTTTATCATTTGATACTCTGCAATGTGCACCAAGTGCTTCTTTGATAATGTGTAATTTTTCAAAGGATTCAGAGTCCCTTACGGATGAGTAAACGCCCCAAATTTCACAACAGTACATTAGTATAGGTGATATTAATGTATCAAACAATTTTTCAAGTAGTTTACATGGGTTATTCAGACCAACAGTTTTCTTTATTTTGAAAATAGTCTGTTCCTGTCTTTTCCATAAGAGAATTAATGGCTAAATTGCAATTACAATTACATTCTAGTACAATACCTAAATAAGAATAATGAGTAACAGTTTCAATACAATACCAAACTTAGTATAAGTAAATTCGTCCAAAAAAGTTTTACCATTTGAATTAAATGATATAACTTTGGACTTATCTGTATTAACTTGTAGTTTCCAATGAGTGCAATAATCATGTAAGTATCCAGACTGTTTTGTAATCCTTTTTCACTTTGAGACAATAAAAAATTCATCTGCATATAGAAGAATATTTAAAGAAAAATCTTTTACACGACATCTCATTTTTCAGAGAAGCTCCACTGAAATTAGTTGGAAAAAAAGAGGCAGGAGATACCAAAGTAACAGTAAAAATCTTAAATCATAAAGAAAAAAGACAGCACCATGATCACAGTAAAATGACAAACAACATACTAAGCAACACGAACCCTAGGAAAAAGCCGATAGTTAAATAGTTTCTCCTTAAGAGTAAGGAGATACTGGTCCACCAGTGGCACTCGTCATGTTGTTCATGGCAAGTGAAATTCTAAGATAAGTCTCATTTGATGATGTTACAATCGAGATAAAGAGGACGGGTTGTTGCCATGACAATTGGAATTAACTAATAAATGGTTATCTGTCGGTAGCACATATATTCCTACGGCAACCACATTTTGATAGTGTCAGTAAAAGCGAAAATGTAACAAACAGACCAGTGAAGCAAAGAGGAATCATCTCTTTTGTCGTAAAATTTAGTTCAGTCTCAACCGACCATCATTGCCAATTTATAGATGTTAGTCAAAGTATGAAGCGGACTAGCTATACTGTATATTCGGATTCTTTATTTCAAGTTCAATGGAAAAGGTAACTTCAATAGTGTTGCCAAACTTTTAATTATTTAATAAGATGGCATCATCCAAATAACGGAACATGAAGTTGATAAATGATAATGCTAAATTCCGAAGTTTTATTCTCACTACTGCACGAAATCGGCCTCATGCGAATGATCACGAATAAAGAAACAAGACATCAAGAAGAGAAACACAGTTGGTCCCCAAAGGAATGCCGATTGTCTTGTGAAAAACCCGCGTGCTCCAACGAAAAATATGTGTTGTCTTTAAAAAACCAAGCATCTTGACGATGTCAGTTTCAGAGACTTTTTATTTGAATCCACAGAGTAGTCATTTACAAGGTACGATTTACCCCTTCCTTAAATAAGATGTATGGGAAATTGTGATTACTCACTATTCGGAGGATCGTACACCTCAATAGTAAGTTATATTTGTTCATTCAAGTAGACTTTTCGAATGCACCTAAAGATATTGATGTCCGTTCGTATGTTAGATTAATACATCTTTCATATTTGGTTCTTGGTGATTTTATTAAGCAATTTGAACCAATTGTTTAGATTGGTCAAAGTTATGGGTGTGTTATCGTCTTATCGGAATTGTCCAATGAATTTCGTCAATACATTTAAATTAGGTCACACCATAACATTTCTGGAAACGTGATATCAAAGAACTATTAATGACGCATCATCAAAACATAAACAAACCATGTTTATGTAGACAAGACGTTGAGTCTTTTTCGAATTCAGACAGTTAGAAAACAAGATATATAACAGCATGACACAAATACAGCTTGGGTAATGTAAAATATGTCAATAGAAATGAAATATTACGGGATTCTACTTTTGGGCCATATTTACAGGTCAACTTATGTTATGACCGGGTTACGTTGACATATTTGTATAGGTTAGTCGGTCAATACAAAAATGTAAGTCTGATTGCAAAATAAATTTTCAGTCATAATTTGGAATATTATGCATATGAGTTGATTATGTAATTGTATCTTGCATAATACTATGATTATTCTACTTAGCAATGTGGATGTGATTAGCATAATAAAATGTCTCTTGACAGTCTTGTATCTAATCAATGCAGATACTACAGTTAAACACACAAGAAGTTGTCTGAATTTGCCTGGAGGAGAATATAGATAGGGAAATCATTCCAAAAATTTTCAAAGACTGTATTACATTTAACAACAAATTGCATATAAACAAACATGACAAACATGGGCAATTCCAGACAGTAAAATTTAAACACCAAAATATCAACATTCTTTTCACTTTGGCAAGGGTTTTACTGCCAGTCGGAATAAGCCTCAAACTTTATAATAAAAGCTTACATGTAGTACAAATAGACATGAAATCTCATGGATAGTGTCATACATGCTGTCTCCATATATAGATCGAGGCCTGTAAGACTGCCCTGTTGTATGAAAAACTAAATAGGGCTCTACTATAACAGATACAAACAAAAACCCATGTTGACACAAACACTAGTTTTTTTTTTCTTTTCATGCTGTTATTTTCATCAATCTTTAAATTTTTGTTATTGTAGAATGCACAAAATGTACGGGTATAATCAATGTCTCTGCAATAATCAAGTGATGTAATAGATGTTAACCTACATGTAGTTTCCCTACTGAAAACAAGAGATCCATTTTCCTCACCTGTTTTACCATATTGAATCTACATGTATCTGAAATACATGTACAACATGTACAATGTATGGGGTTTGCATTTTAATGTGTTTTCTATTTAATTGACTGATAGAGGTACAAATGTACTGTATGAGTGAGAAATGTAAAAGAAGAATATTGATTTTAATCAAAATCTTTGTTGATATTTCCTTCAGGGATTTGCATTATTGTGCTAACTTTTGTTTCTATTAGAAGTTTTGGTCTTAATTGTCCTTGTAGACATAATGAGAACAATGTCACTTGGAGGAGGCCAATGAGGACTTGCTATTAGGACGAAAATGTACACCAATAGTACCAGCATTTATTTGCATATCACAAATATGACTGTCCTTTTTTTATCACAAATAATGATAACCGAAGAATGTGTCTCCCAAATTTTACTTACAAGTATATTTATAGGTTATAAGTAAACTTATTTTGAAAAAGGGCACTTAAGCACCATTTTAGTTAAATGAATTAAAAAAGGACACTTTAGTGTGTCCATGAATTGAAATCATATTGATGTGGCAATAATGTATGTATTAATATTCTAATAATATTAATCCATATGATTATTAATGTCACACACACACTCATACACACACACATTTCAAACTTTTCTATAATTCTATATCAGTCATCCATGTACATGTACAGTACACACAGAGAGGATGTAATCTCATACTCCCAACACTGATTCTGGTGTAACACAGTGTCACACTGTGAAACACAGATTTCTCTCCCAAAAAACACCAAGTAATTACTCCCATCTGGGAGGGTTTTATGACCTGTTGATTGCAGGTAAGAGTAATAAAAATCAACAAAGCACGACTGCATGGTCTGACAGTGACATAATTACATGTCAACTATTCTCTCACTTCTTCCTATTTCAATCATTTCCTATTTAGTTTTATTTCTGAAAGCTATAAAAAAAGGTTAACGAAATGATTTTTAAAATTTTTATACAAATATGTATTTTTAGATTGGAAAATTATTTACATTCTTTCATAATCTCATAATCAAGAATGGCAACTTGATATTTACAATAAGTTGTATTCATAGTCAATGATAGTCAGTTTAAACATATAGATATTAGTATATACATGGTTTAAAAAATAATAGTAATGATACAAAAAAAAATAATGAATAAAATAAAATAATGTAGATAAATTACATATATATATTATATTTATATAATCTTCCTTTATTTCTTATCATTTAAATTTAGAAAAAACGATTGAATAAATTCAACTAAAATATATGTCTTTATTTTCTATTAATAATACATGTACTCCACTTACAGGTGATGTTTTGTTTGTTTTTGTATGTTTCTTAGGTATGAAAACCCAACACTGTCAGAACAAATGCTGAATATAATTTTAATAAATAAAGTTGTACAGGATTCTTTAATAAAATCAGATTATAATATGTCTCTGATTAAATTTAACAAATCTCATGTACATGTATATGTTGAGATTCTATAAATTTTGTTTTGTTTTGTAGAATGGCTGCTGCTTATAGGAATAGCCTTATAAGGACCAGGTTGTTTGATAGTCAAGGATGTTCATCTCAGAAGTGGATTCATACTACAGACAGTAGAGAATCTTCTAATCTCCAGACTATCAAGAGAAATTACTCTGGTAGTGATGGAGATGGAGGTACCAATAGCAAGGGAGATAACTCACATCCTGTAACAAAAATCAAAAACAATGTCAGCTGGATGATGAATAACATCAAAGTTCCACAGATAACGATTCCTGATTGGAGGAAATTTGCACCAGAAGAAATGAATTTTACAGAAAGTGTCAGAAAAAATAAAGATAAAATTGTAGACAGTTTAGTTCTTAAAAAACAACAGTTTAAAAAGTTGCAAATGGCAAAGAAACAGAAGTCAGATGAAACAAAATCAAGCTCACCTCCTGAGACAAAATCTTGTGCTTTTTCTTCTCATATCCAAGAACACAATGATAGCATTGTATCATTCTATGACACTTCAAGTTTACATGTTGAGAGTCAGGCTGCCATAAAAGTAAAAGTCAATGAAGAAGTTATTCCTTCAGATACAAAAGCTGACAGTAAAGTTGACGAAGCATGGCTATCGAGAATGGTAGGTCTGGCTTTCTTTTCAAGTGCACCAGTTAGTGAGGCACAACAAGACAGTAAACCAGTGGTGAGAAAAGATTTTGTGTCCAAAGCTTCAATAGATAGCAGAACAAAAGCATTGGTACATAATCTAAAACAGGCTTCATCACAAGTATCAAAGCTGAAGAGGACCGAGGACTTGTGTTCACATCTCATTCAGTTTCCTGATTCCAGAACAATTGCCATGAAGGTTAGTAAATTTTTTCTAAATTTCAGGGTGTTTCATGCGAAAACTATTAAACAATTTATCCATTAAACATTTGTGTTAAAGTAAAAGTGAGGCTAAAGATACCAAATGGTAACTTCTTATATACAAGGTTTCATGCATTCAAAATTCATGTAATTATGATAAAATAAAGCGTGCACACACATACCCTTAAATTCTGTATAAAGAAAGCCTTCATTGACATGATTGAGTAGTTTTACAAGGTTTTGGTTTTTGGTATGGTTTTCATATGAATCAAAATAATATCTTGAAGTATTAGATGATATTTTTGTATATTCTGTTGTCACTTACAAATGTATACTTTCATATAAATCTTTAAAAGTTCCTTTATGGACATTTAAGTTATTAAAAATGATAATTAATATCAGTAGATAACAGACATAGATTATGATATAATTATCATGCTTAATAATAAGTTATGAGCAATGTCTTCATAATACAGTTATCTTTATTTATAAATATTATTGCAGGAAAAATGTTTACCTACCTTATTAAGACTGCACAAGACAAAACACAGACAACTGAAAGCTGAGGTCTCACAGGCCCTGTCTCTGGTTGGTTATGTTCACCCTCCTAAAGGAAAAGGTGTCAGAGTTCTCTCTATTGATGGTGGTGGTACAAGGTAAGTGTTGAGGGCAGATATCTCGAAGGTTTTGTCTTCGATTAAAACACTCAGCTCTTAGTCTAAGACAAAAATTAAAGAATCTTTGACATCTATCCCTCACTGGCTACCTGTTCACCAAATACTTAAAAATTCTTACACATAATGGCCATTTATGAAAATTTATTTGCCTTTTTCTCAGGATCTACAATCTTAATGTGAGCATGCTATACCATGTGGTGGGTTTTCACATCCATCTCTCATCAACAAAACTCAGTTGTAAATGTCCTTGTGATTTTGAAAATGTTGGATGTTACATTTGTACATGTATTATTAACAACCTCCAAATAACAACACTAAATTTTGATATTTTTTTTTCTGTTCTCTAACTTTAGTTTTAGATAGTTTTAAATGTTATGAAACGCATACACAATGCTTATTACCATAAAACACAGATCAAGTTCGAATTTGGGTGGCGTCAATTTAACAGTTCTCTATGTCCCTGTATAATGTTATATGCAAGTAGGGGCATCATCTGTGTCCATTCTCCATTTATTTTAATATCCATCAGATGAATATATGTATAGAAGTTTTACAAAATGTTTGTAGATATTAATCCACTATAAAACCAAATACTGCTCAAATACTTTATTTATATACATTTCAGAACATTAAATGATCTTTTTCAGAGGGGTCATAGCAATACAAACATTAAAGATGATCCAGGAACAGTGTAAGACAGATATAACCAAGTGTTTTGACTATGTGTGTGGAACTAGTCAGGGAGCCATTCTGGCTTGTCTTATATTTTTGTTAAAAGTGCCTCTAGCTGATGCTGAAGAACGTTACATGGAATTCAGTCAGATGTTCAACAGAAATGCAGTACTAGGCACAGGCAAACTGGTTTGGGATCATGCTTTTTATGACACTGATTTGTGGGAAAAGATCCTTAAGTAAGTACAATGTACCAATTTCTCTTCATAAAAAGTTATTGTTTGAGTGGATATATTTTAACATTTTAACTTCTGAATCATCTGATTAAAGCTGTTGTTGCAGTGTGATAGGTTTGGTACTGTTAGACTGGATGTGATCTATTTGCATATATTGATTGGCTAATAGAACATCAAGTTACTAATCTGTGCACTAATTGCTTCCATTTGATTGGATGAAAATATGATGAACAGAAAAGTTTTTCGCAATATAACTGTTTATTAAATTGTGTTCTCAAACATCGGCAGTCAGGTTTGACCATTAGAACAAAACAGTTGCCCTTATCCTCTGGCATAAGTGGCCAAAAATCAAAACAACCCTTGCCCTCAAATCAATTCAAAAATTGAAGGTTCATTGTTTTATTTAGAAGCAAAACATGAAATAAGTTAGAAAGGAAGAGAATTAATTAGCAAACTGTTTCCTTAATAGGAAAACAAGAACCTTTAAATGATTTTGGATGTAGATACACATCATTTGTGCATGATAGATGCCTCTTCATGCTTATTGTAATTAATTTTTTTGTAGGATGAATTTCTCTGAAGATAAGACAATGGCTGACTGTGCTAAAGATGATACCTGTCCAAAGGTAGATAAATACATAAACTATTATACTACAATCTCTTTACTCTTCCATCTGTTTATCTGTCCATTGTCTTCTGTAACTTTTGTAACAAATAAATCAGCTTCTGAATTAAGAATTTATTTTATATTTAATTTGGAGAATTATAATATCGAGTTGTACTGTCAAAATCAATTTTCGATTAGCTTGGAAGGCACTTCCTGTTTAATGATACTTTGAATATTTATGATACACAGTCATGACAGTAGTATTGTTGGATTTAAATCATTCCATTTTCCTGTGTGAAAAACTATGTCAGTGCATAGAAAAATTAAATGTGATACAACTTTTTAAACCTCTAAATTGAATAACAACTATCCTGTAATCCATCTTGTAAAAAAAGGATCAAAAGTGGTTTGGCAGCAAATTAAATAATGTTTACATGAAAACCTCATTGGAAATCACTGTCATACTGGATCCTTGCTTATTCATAAAAAAAAATGGTTCACTCTAAACTACTAGTATGTGATGAAATTGTTCTTATATTTTATACATCATCTACCTTTTTCTAGATATATATAGTTTATTATCTATCTTAACCTGACCACAATGATGTGCACAGATATTCCTTTATAATAAAAATGAGAAAAGACTGATTATATTAATATTTTATGTTACAGGTATCAGCCATATCCTGTCTATTAAATGTTCCTAAGATGAAGAGTTTTATGTTCCGTACCTACAACCTTCCACCTGGAGTGTTTTCCCATTATCCTGGTAATTGTAAACATAAAGTATGGGAAGCCATTAGAGCCTCTTCCGCTGCTCCTGTTTACTTGAAAGAATTTGTACTTGGAGACTTTATACATCAGGTAAAATATGCTTCCCATAGCAACAAAATTTTTTTAAATGGTTTTTAAATGTGATATTATGATATTAAGACCATGCACATGGTCATGGTAAATATGATTGATATATATTCGTATTAAAAAGGTGTTTTTAAGATGTAAACAGTCACAACTGAAATTGAACTAATGCATGAACTAACTAACTAAGGTTGGCTCAGCCAAAATCAGAAACACTAAATGTGAAAAGATCTGTAAGCTAACATCCACATTTTCTTATTTCTCAAAACAAACCAAAAAAAATACATAAAAATTACATTATTTTGATTTTGCTCTGTCAACCAATAGTGTTTTTTACATTTTTGCCATTACATATAAAAATGGATTTATATAGAATTAGTAATTTAAAAATGTAATGGTTTATCTTTGCAGGATGGTGGATTAATGGCCAACAATCCAGCTGCTATTGCCGTGTCAGAATGTAAGCTGTTATGGCCTGATGAGGCAATTCAGTGTGTTATTTCCCTTGGAAATGGACGTTTTGAACCCAATTTAGAAATCACACCAAGTAAAAATGCTGTAAAAGAAAAAGTAGCCAAAATAATAGATGCAGCTACAAACACAGAAGGTAATTCATTGCTCATGCTGTGATTTTATTGCCTAATATTTTAGAATTACTGGTATAGATTTTGTGTAGCAATAATAACCATGTAGTTAGATTTAGTTCTAAAATGTCTTCATTTGATTTTTTTGTGACACATTTATTTGAAATGATAAAAAATGTCTTCAGAGTTTGATCTGTGCTCCTTACACAAAAACTGCTTCAACATAGAACGACTGAAATTGACACTACATAAAATTTACAGTTACCATCAGGAAATTAACTGGTTCATGGATATGATTTGGTGGCTTCTGAATTCACTGGCCTCATGTTTTCACTGTCTTAGATCTTTTGGATACTAGAAGTCCTCTGATTGTGTCCTATTCCCATTTGAGGCATTGTGACAGTTTGACTGAGCGTGGGCTTGCATGGCAGGTGATGCATACATACAGGAGATGCTTACCCTGAAGACACATCTAGTCTCACTTCTTTTGGAGTTAAAGCGATTCCCTCAGTTTTAAGTTTGTTACCTTGATTTGTATTTTCTTTATCGTTTTATTAGATTTGACCATTGGTAAACTACTGCTTTGACAACTAGCTTTGAATATATCTATATCTCTTATAAGATGTGTTGAATTGTAAATGTATAAAGAAATGGATGAAAACAAGTTTGAAAAGCATGTTCAGTGATCTGTTTTATCAGTTTTCATCAAATTGTTTTTGACAGAACAGAAACAATGTTCTTGAACTTTGAAATTTAAATGGGTTGGTTTAGAAGCTTTAGTTACTTTGCTTACTAGTACACTATTTCATGAAATTGGAATTGTTGTAATTTATCATTACAGCAGATTCCATTGAGTGTGTAGCCAAAGGTAATATCTTTGGTTAGCTTACTTGTTAGCTGAACCGTGAAGTCATTATTAGGTCAGGTATACTACCCTACTTTCGAAGTAGCATAGTCCAACAGACAGATCGATTGGTTTTCTGTCAGACTAGTCTATTCTTAAAGTAGGGTAGTATACCTAACCTAACAATGACTTCACTGTTCAGCTAACAAGCAAGCTAACCAAAGATATAACCTTAGGCTACACACTCAATGGAATCTGCTGTAAATGCTCTTGAAATTTGAGTTTGTCATATTTCACATATGTTGTGCTTGTATTACACTTTCTAACTTTTAACAACAAAGTTGCTCTCTGTTGCACTATCTGTGTCCTTTAACACATTCTTTTAGCATTTATTCAGGCAAAACCAAAAACAATGGTCTTTCACAATATTTTACTTACAACACTAATTTGACAATGTCTTATCTTTTCAGTTGTCCACACAATTCTCCAAGACTTATTGCCAACATCAACATACTTTCGTTTTAATCCCTACATGTCAGAAGACATCCGATTGGATGAGAAAAGAACAGAGAAACTTATACAAATGCAACAAGACACTGAAATGTATTTACGTAAAAATGAATTTAAACTTAAATGTGCTACTGATCAATTACTGAAACAAAGACAGCCACACCAACAAGCATTAGATTACATCAAACTGAAAGCAGATTCCTCTTTTCTAGCTGATTCTAATATATTATAAGAAACAAAAATTATAAAGCATTATCTGTGATAAACTAGTCAAAATGATGTTTGGATGTACTTTTAATTTATGATAAAGTACAAATGAAGTAAGTTACAAAAAGAACCCTTTGTATTTAAGTTTGTTGTGAACGACATATATTTCACTCTGTTCTCTAAAATTAAAAGTTTATGTATGATTAAAAAGATTGAAATGTAAAAGAACATACCTGTTTTTAATGGAATGCATTTATTAAGTTTTTTTCTTCTTTCTTAAAACTTGTGGTGTTTTATTTTTTTCATTGTTTAACTTGTGACAATAATTTGAGACAGTACACATTAACTATTTAAACATTAATGAATCTTAAGAAAATGGTGTTGAGAACAAAGTCATTGTATATTTAAAGTATATTTATTCCAGTTTTAATGGGATGTAATAGAAATATAGGTCATAGTACAGTTGTGATATTTTATTCCAGTTTTATGGGATCAAAAGGCTGATTTTTTATGTTATGATTCAGTTAAGAATTAAGTACCAATTTATCTAGATGTATTTTATACAAAATGAAAAACATTAAGATATCTTTTCTCTTATTAATGAATTCAGTTGGTATAAAATCTGTACTTCTTATTCCCAATACTCTTTCAGGTTGTATGACACAATTTCAGTGTACCATGGCCTGTCAGGTGAATTTTTAGTTATTGAGCATAGTCCAAATTGTGATTGAATTAAGTGCTTTTTGTATAATATTTTTGTTCTTTTATTTATTATATTATATATCATGTACATGTTAAGATTTGGTCTTGTTTATGTTACTTTATGGTATTATGTAATTTTTTTCTGATTAAGGCATTACTATTTCTCAGTAGGGAAACACATTTCATTATAAATTTTACTAAAACTGCAACATTTTTTGGTTTTAGTTATCTTATTCAGCTTTATTAAACACTTTGAAAACAAGAGAACTAGTGACCTCTAATGAAAATTAATACAAAGAATTGAGACATGATAGTGATTAATTCTTACTTTTGGCAAAAAATGACATTTATAAAATATTTTCAAATGTACACAGTACAACTATATTTATAGAATATTTTCGACATGTATAGATTGCTGCTTCAGTATTTCATCTCCTCATAAATGTTTCATGATTCCATTGCCTATGCTACTGGTGGTTGTAATTCATGCTGATTGGTAAAGGATATTATATTAAATTTTTCTTTTTTTAATTGGGTTTTGGGTTATCCATGGAAGCTTGCCTTTTTTGCAGTAAAGATGTTTGCTTCATTGTCAGCAATAGATTATTTAAGGTACAGAATTATCCTTGATTGCAGCTTAGCATCCATTTCATTAAAACCATAACACTTTATTGATAATTACACACAGACACATAGAACTGTTATTAAATTTGAGGTCAAAATATGAATCATCTACAATAAAAGATAAAAAGAGCATGAAGTAATGATTTGTATTACTCTATTTAATAATATCAGCAGAACAAACTAGCAATTTCTCTAATTTAAAAATACTGACAGTCCTTTGTAGACACCTTCAATTTTTAACAGAGAGATATGTATTTGTCCAATTCTGAAAAAAACTGGAGATATTACTATGTAGAAGAAACATTATGAATTGATAATCGTTTGTTTTACATTGTTTGTTGTTTTATTTAATGTTGTCTGAGTACTATGCAGCATTTGATTTAAAAAAATGCTTATTTACAAAATGGCATGATTTCATTTAAAAATACTATGCAAATAAAACAAGGGTTTTATAGTTTTGTACAAACTTGGACATTATTCATTTTAAATACACAATCTGTAAATGATGTGTTTATTTGTCTAGTCTTCTTTGTGTAGTGCTGTTTTTTTGTGATCATTCATTTAATCAAATCAGTACTTTACCATGTATGACAGTAACTGATATAAAGTGATATATATATTACAATTAATAAATTATCTCTCCTTTCCTTTCCTTCTTAAAATCAGTCTTGAAGATACATTTTTAGTACATTATTTTTATCATACCAAGGATAGTGTTTATAATTTTATGATTACTTAATTTTTCTTTGGAGATAAAACAATACTTTCACAGAATAGTAAGCAATGTTTGTGTGCACTGATGAATAGCAAGCATAATTGTGTAAGACCTGTGATATATAAGAATGCATAAAATTTCACCATTCTTCTGTAAAATTTAGAATTTTTTGAAAAATGTTTTGTGATTTTCATTACTTTAATAATATTTGACTGTAACAGCAGTTTCTCTTCATTCTGTGTGTATTTTCTGTTCTGACCAGTTTAGATACATTTTGATAAACTGCATGTTGATTAAATCTCTCTGCTGTAAAGCCTGCCATTCAGAGCATTGCACTCAGCATTTGGCATGAAATCATTAGAGTAACAAATTCTACCTCTTTACCCCATTCACTACATTTATCCACTCTCGATATTGAAATTTTCAAATTTTTTTTTAAATGTTCAGTAGACCTTAAATTTTAGTTTAATAAAGCGAATAAATATCATAATCAACAGGGTTGTGTGTTAGATTATATATATTTATACACTGGAAGTTGATATACAATCTTTTAAAAGCAGTTGATGTTAGATAGGTCAGTTATTTATCACGTTGTTTTACTTGATTTTCATAGAATTCATTTTAATCTGATTAAAAATTCCTGTATTGAAGACAGATTTTTTTTATGAGTTTTTTTCATTGCTGCTTATTTAAAATATAAGAGAAAATGTATTATAAACAATGTTGTAAAGAACAGCTGGCATGAAATAGATTCCTCAAATGGTATTAACTTATTTTTTCCTGTTTTTTATAAAATTAATTGTTACTTAATATACTTATACTTGTTTATTGTTTGTGAATAAATGTGGACCTGTGAATAAATCTTTGTTTATTTTTTTAATATCCATTTAACTGAAAATTGGACAAGTCAAGTATGTTATTATTTTTTACCAACAATGAACAAAAGCTTCAACAAAGCAGTAAAAGTGCTTAAAAGCTTCATATTTTGTGAAGCAGCTGTCATTTTGCATGTCTTTATAAGCAAAACCTTACAGTCTTTTTATTTGTTATTTGAGGGATTTTTGTCGAGCCGGCGACTTCTGTCGCAGAAAGCTAGACATAAGGATAGTGATAAGGCGGCAGCGTTAACTAACTTCTTAATTGCTTAATATTTCAGAAGGTAGAAGACCTGGATGCTTCATACTTTAATTTGTATATAGATGCCTTATGCTATGAAGTTTCCGTCTGTCATATTTCCATTGTCCTTGACCTTATTTTCATGGTTCAGTGACTACTTGAAAAAAAAGTTAAGATTATTTGTAATGTTAATTTCTCTTATTATGAGTAATAGGATAACTATATTTGGTATGTGTGTACCTTGCAAGGTCCTCATGCCTGTCAGACAGTTTTCACTTGACCTCGACCTCATTTCATGGATCAGTAAACAAGGTTAAGTTTTCGTTGTCAAGTCCATATCTCAGATACTTTAAGCAATAGGTATACTATATTTGGTGTATGGAAAGATTGTAAGGTGTAGATGTCCAACTGGCAGGTATCATCTGACCTTGACCTCATTTTCATGGTTCAGTGGTTATAGTTATGTTTTTGTGTTTTTGTCTGTTTTTTTTATACAGTATGCAATAGGTCAACTATATTCAGTGTATGGAATGATAGGCTAGTTCTGGAATATGTCTTTCACCGGAAAAGATCGTCAATTTCACACGCCTTTATGATGTCATTTACCAGATAGAAGGCGCGCCTGTATCCCTGCTCTATTAAAGTTTCAAGCACTTTCAGAATCATCATTCTGCAGGCTAGTCTAGAAATAATTTATGTTCCGTAAGTACATAATCTTAATTCCCGTACAACTGAAGGGAGGGTGACCAACTTATTAGATTTTAATTTCCCAAATAATTTGTGTAGTATAAGATCAAACTTTTTCATCCGTTCCCTTGACATGGAACTTGGAAGTGACAATGACTACATTTTGGTCACGTGGTGATGGAAGTCACATGACAGATTCAACTAACTACCGTATCCCGGAACTGGCGTATTGTAAGGTGTACATGTCTGTCTAGCAGGGTTCATCTGACCTTGACTTCATTTTCATGGTTCATTGGTCAATATAAAGTTTTCATGGTTTGGTCTGTTTCTTCTATACTTTAAGCAATAGGTCAACTATATTTGGAGTATGGAATGATTGTAAGGTGTATATGTCTGTCTGGCAGGTATCATCTGACCTTCACTTCATTTTCATGGTTCATTGGTCAATGTTCAGTTTTCCTGGTTAACTTTGTTTCTTAGATACTATAAGCAATAGGTCAACTGTATTTGATGCATGGAATGATTTTAAGGTGTTCATGTCTGTCTGGCAGGGTTCATCTGACCTTGACCTCATTTTCATGGTTCATTGGTCAATATAAAATTTCCATGGTTTGGTCTGTTTCTTTTATACTATAAGCAATAGGTCATCTATATTTGGTGTATGGAATGATTGTATTCAAGGTGTACATGTATTTTCAGCTTGGTTTATCTGACCTTGACCTCATTTTCTTGGATCATAAATGTTAATGTGATACTTGTAGTAGAACTTTATATATAGGACTATCAACATAAAATCAATGGTCAGTATAGCAGGCGAGACATTTCAGCATGTGCACTCTTGTCTTGATTTGAAACAAATAGTTTTCCTTTCCAGAGGAAGATTTGATTAGTTCAGGAAAAACTTATCAATGTGAGGTCAAATGCCTTGAGAAGTCCAGGTCAAAGGTTTTGAGGCCATTTCAAACACATGAGTTCAAAAGCCTAAAAGCCTTTGCATATTGCGAAATTTGTTGCAATTTAGACAAAATCATATTAAGATGTAATTTAAAATTTATTTTACAAAAAGTATGTGCAAACTTATAATAATATCATTGAACAGTCATACACAATACTTCAACACCACACAATTTATTCACATTTTGTGCAACATTTTAAATACATGGAAGCTCACTTAATGCTGTATTCATTCAATAAACATTCTCTGCATAAGATCTACTGAATATTACAGTAATACTGCATCTTAAATTTCAACTATTTTTAAGGCATGTTCATAAATGTCAAACAAACATGGGTTTTTCAAGCATTTCAGAAATAAATTATCAAAAAACCAACACTGAGAGTATTTAATTGTGATTTGGATGAAATAAGCTAAGTTATAAGGGACAAGGTAGGATAAGGCAAAAATTTTGCAAAAATGTCATGTATAGGGGTGCAGGTTTTCATAATTGATCAAGTGCTATAGAAATGACTATCATGAAATTGTACTAAATGGTAGTGGCAAAGAATATCAACAAACAAACAACTAAAATAACATGATGACAATATTGTCAAAAATTTAATTTAGAATAACACTTGCGATGTTTGTCCAGCAAAGGTACCACCCAGATTACATATTTTTAAGCTAGTAATAGAAAGAAAGGAAGTCATAAGAAATGTTAAATTATATAGTACATTTTCTGAAGTTAATGCATATTCCACGTCATTTACAATGTTCAACAATGCCCTAATAACCTGGTTGATTGCTCTCAAGTGCCCATTCTGTCAACCAGCACCCTTCTGAGATTCAAGCTGGAACACTAAAAAGTTATCAGGTTTTAAATACATATAAGAACATTATGTTTTAAATGTCCATATAGACATCACATTCTAAACACTCAAATGACAAAGGTTAAATTGACATATGGTAACTCATATCCATGAAGATAATAGGTTTTAAATATCATAAATCTTAATTTTCAAATAACAATGTCTAAAGTGACATATCATTTAGGTATCTTGACCATAATACAAAAAGAGGTTTAACATTTATATTTTGTTTTTACAAATTAATTTGATATTTAAAAAAAAATTAATCTAAACATATGTTAAACCTTTTTTTAAACAAGAGTGCACACGCTGAAATGTCTCGCCTTCTTTACTAATCATTGATATTATGTTGATAGTCCTAAATATAAAGCTTTATTACAACTGTCACATAAACTTAACATTAACCAAATAAACTAAACATTGACCAACAATGAACCATGAAAATGAGGTCAAGGTCAGATGAACCATGCTAGCAGGCATGTACAGCTAACAATTCTTCCATACAACAAATATAGTTGACCTATTGCTTATAGTTTAAGAAAAACAGACCAAAACACAAAAACTTAACACTGAGCAATGAACCTTGAAAATGAGGTCAAGGTCAAATGAAACCTGCGTGACTGACATATAGATCATAAAATATTTCCATACACCAAATATAGTTGAACTATTGCATAAAGTATTAGAAAAAAAGACCAAAACTCAAAAACTTAACTTTGACCACTGAACCATGAAAATGAGGTCAAGGTCAGATGAACCATGCCAGCAGGTATGTACAGCTAACAATTCTTCCATACAACAAATATAGTTGACCTATTGCTTATAGTTTAAGAAAAACAGACCAAAACACAAAAACTAAACACTGAGCAATGAACCTTGAAAATGAGGTCAAGGTCAAATAAAACCTGCGTGACTGACATATAGATCATAAAATATTTCCATACACCAAATATAGTTGAACTATTGAATAAAGTATTAGAAAAAAAGACCAAAACTCAAAAACTTAACTTTGACCACTGAACCATGAAAATGAGGTAAAGGTCAGATGACACCTGCGTGACTGACATATAGATCATAAAATATTTCCATACACCAAATATAGTTGAACTATTGAATAAAGTATTAGAAAAAAAGACCAAAACTCAAAAACTTAACTTTGACCACTGAACCATGAAAATGAGGTAAAGGTCAGATGACACCTTCCAGCTAGACATGTACACCTTACAATCATTCCATACACCAAATATAGTAAACCTATTGCATACAGTATAAGAAAAACAGACCAAAACACAAAAACTTAACTATAACCACTGAACCATGAAAATGAGGTCAAGGTCAGATGACACCTGCCAGTTGGACATGTACACCTTACAGTCCTTCCATACACCGAATATACTAGACCTATTGCTTATAGTATCTGAGATATGGACTTGACCACCAAAACTTAACCTTGTTCACTGATCCATGAAATGAGGTCGAGGTCAAGTGAAAACTGTCTGACGGGCATGAGGACCTTGCAAGGTACGCACATACCAAATATAGTTATCCTATTACTTATAATAAGAGAGAATTTAACATTACAAAAAATCTTAACTTTTTTTTCAAGTAGTCACTGAACCATGAAAATGAGGTCAAGGACATTGGACATGTGACTGACGGAAATTTCGTAACATGAGGCATCCATATACAAAGTATGAAGCATCCAGATCTTCCACCTTCTAAAATATAAAACTTTTAAGAAGTTAGCTAACGCCGCCGCCGGATCACTATCCCTATGTCGAGCTTTCTGCGACAAAAGTCGCAGGCTCGACAAAAATGAAATATTCCTGAGTATGAAATAATGTTAAAACCCGTTAAAAACCATCTGAAGAAATTTACCATATGAAATGAGTTATAGAATATTTCTGATGCTTGCTGCAGTCATGTTTGCATACAAAGAGCAACCAGGTGTTTTAAATAATCATGTGGTCAGTTATGGTACAGATACCTAAATGACCAGAATAATTCTCATCACAAGCCAGTAAAATAATTGCACTTCAAAAATGGCATTTTTGACACAGTAGCTTGCACCATCTTCTTTCGTACTTCAAGCTGAACACCAGTTCCAACTTTAGAAAATGCAGTTTCCACATAACCCATTGATACATTCTTTTTTAATGAAGGTGAAGGACATCCACTTGTTAGCTCTCCAATCTGTTCAGTACCTGATTTATTATATATTTTTGTTCCACCTAAAACAAAAATAATTGAAATTTAAAAAAAGAGAGCTCATTATCCTTGCATTAGAGAAATATACCTTGCATGATTTCAATTAATTTCTATTCCTTTATTTTTTATTCTACACATGTATTGAAGGGAATCTTTCATAATATTACAAAGGACTACAGGTTACTGTGGATTCATAATTATTTCTGGGATACCAATTTTCGTGGAATTCGTGGGTATTGGTAAACCACAAACTTAAACGTTCAGCAAAGAACAAATTTTCTATAGGCTTGTATTCAGACTTTGGCAATTCAAATATCCACCAAAGTACATTTTTTTTCTCAATCCAAAAAAAATGGTAGCCATGAAAAACAAGTGAATCTGTGAGCTACTACTCACCAATGATACCCCCGCCCTGCTAAAAGTATAAGGTAAACAGGAAGTTGTTGAGTGATGAATCTGAAAACACATCACACGGTATAGCTGACTCATATAAACCCTGAAACAAAATTTCAGAAATCCTTGTAATGTAGTTCCTGAGACAAATGCGACGATAAAACATTCATGGGACGGACAAACGGACTGACGGATGGACTGACGGATGGACAGACAGACAGAGGTAAAACAGTATACCCCAACTTTTTTAAAGTGGGTGTACAATTATAAATAAATCCACAGTTGAATTTTCACGTTGTCTACTTTATGTTCAAAATTTACAGTTTTCACATAAAATATATCCTATGAATAATTGTTTCAATCATTTAACTATAGGACTATCCATACGTTGTCCAAGGATATGCAATCAATTTGTTTTAACCACATATCAGGATAGAAATATCCAGGTGCCTGGCATTTCAAACTGTTTCTAAAATTTAATTTTTTATACCCAAACAATGTCTGCATGTTCCATATTTTTATAAATTCAAATTTGGAAATTTTTTAATTAGATATCTCTAACATAGAATAAGTTTCAAGCAAAGATGAAAAATACTATTGTTCAGTGAGCTATTGCTCCCTCACTAATGATACCCATAATGTAAATAGGAAGTTGATGAACGATGGATGTGAAAAAGCATCACATTATGTAGCAGGCTCAAATTGGTACCAAATTACAGGAATATCCGATTTGCAGTTCCTGAGAAATATGGGACAAAAATTTCAGACATAGCCATTATGTGTAACATGAACAGGAAGTTGATGTGCTTTTGATGTGAAAAAGATTAAAGAATATAGCATGCTCACAAGAAGCTGAATACTAATTTAAGTAAGCTCTGATTTGCAGTTCCCAAGAAAAATGTGACAAAAATTACATCTATGGCAATTATGTGTAAGAATAAGAAGTTACACAAGTTGTATAGTGCTAAGCATACCATTACTAATAATGCTCACAAGTCTCACCAAATTGGGAATTATGTGTCTGACAGATCTGAAAACACATTACAACTCATCACTGTCAAGCTACTGACCAAATATGAAATCATTCTGTTCAGTAGTTTCTGTAAAAAGTCTGATGAAAATACTTGTAGGAAAACAGACAGACAAGATGATTGTAATCTAGTCCCCACTCCTAGAGTGGGATATATCATACTAAAAATTTGTAAGGGTTCCGCGGAACCCAGTGTCTCGCCTACTTTTGCTGTTAATCGCAGGCTCAACAAAAATGAGGGAAAAAAATTAATAAAAATATTCCTCTCTATACTATCTTTTGATTGTAAGTAGCTTCTGTCCAAGTTTGGTAAAAATCCAGGATAATTTATGAATCTAATAAATGTTTTAAAAACTTAAACTGCAGACTGTATGTAATGTTGACTGGAAGAAAAACTAAGTCCATTTATAAGTAAAATACGGCAAAAATGGAACAAAATTTTATCAAAATTGCCTTCTAAATACTAGCTTTTGATCATAAACAAGCTTCTGTCCAAGTTTGGTACAAATCCAGGATAGTTAAAGAAATTGGTTGTTAAAATTTTAAAAACTTTAACCACAGAGTGAATGTAATGTTAACTGGCAGAAAAACTAAGTCCATTTATAAGTAAAATACAGAAAAAATGGATTTTTTTTTTACAAAATTTACTTCTGGATAATATCTTATGATCATAAACAAGCTTCTGTCCAAGTTTGGTAGAAATCCAGGATAGTTTAAGAAAGTTATTAAAATTTCAAAAACTTTAACCACAGAGTGAATGTAATGTTTCCTGGCAGAAAAACTAAGTCCATTTATAAGTAAAATATGGAAAAAATGGATTTTTTTTTTTACAAAATTTACTTTTGAATATAATCTTATGATCATAAACAAGCTTCTGTCTAAGTTTGGTAGAAATCCAGGATAGTTTAAGAAAGTTATTAAAATTTGAAAAACTTTAACCACAGAGTGAATATTTGTGGACGCCGCCGACGACGACACCGACGGAATGTAGGATCGCTATGTCTCGCTTTTTCGACAAAAGTCGAAGGCTCGACAAAAACCTTTGGGTCAAGTGAGCTAAAATGAACCCAGTGACCCCATATAAATTTCATATTGGACATTAAAAGTTCCTAACAACAACATATCATCTTTAAACAAAATTATGTGTACATGCTTTCAACATTATCATGTGTTACACTCCATGAATATTGTATCATACATTCATTTTACAAACCTCTAGCCGGTGGACCTTCAGATATAACTCCTACTCTTTTTCTCTTTGGCTTCTGTTTTATCTGTTCTAATATGGTAAGTGCTCCAGGGAAATCCCCATCTTGTCTTCTTCTTTTTCCTTCATAAGCGAGAAACAATAAAATTCAGATTTCATTATAAATTTATTCTCAATAAGTATATCTTTCTGACATGCAGACGAGATAAGCCCTTTTCAACTGATATTTTCACTAATTTTGTACTGTTAAACCACTGTGAGTTTAAGGTGTGTGTTAAGCACTCACACAAATGTTTGACTTTGCCATATTCTTTTTATGCCTGTCACAAGCCAAAGTGTGTTGAGCACTCACTATGATGTTTGACATTGCCATATTCTTTAAGTGCCAGTCCAAACCCAAAAGCCTGTAGTCGAGTGGTTGATGTTGGTTGCTCTCTGCCATTACTGTTTTTTGTTCAATATGATTAGCTTAAGTCTGTTCATTAGTGGAAATTCTGAATTGTTTCACATTTTGTTATCCAAGGGTATTTTATAGCTTATTATACAGTTTGGATCATATTCATTGTTTAAAGTCATTCTGTGATCTGTAGTTATTTACATCTTTTTTCTTAGATAATTGATGATCATGGATACTGATACTTGTCCCATTGGCAATCACACCACATCTTACTATAATTATACTGGTTTGTTAAATTAACAATTGCTTTTAATTTCATATTAAGTCTGGTAGTACATTGTATGCTTTCAGGACTATACTTCTTTTTCTCCCTTTTTCAGATCACATCCTTACAGACAAAAAATAAGTCCCCAGAGGGCAAAAGTGCTATATAGTCTTACACATGTAATGACTGACCCTCATTTTTAAATCTTATTAAAAATATCAAGTTGCAATATTTGGGATGTATATGAGGCTATACATATGAAATACAGACAGTTGCATGCTCAAAGTGTAAGAGTGTAAGAAGGCATGATTTTTATGTCTACAGATTAAGTACTTTCAGAAATAATGAGTCCTCTTTGATAAGATTTTCTGATCTAAAGTAGCCTGAGAAGCTGTAATGGATAGCTGCAACCTATATTTCATCTTTTTCAGATACCCTAAACAGCAAGTATATAATTAAGATAGTGTAAAGGGAAGACATAATTATTTTTTCTTTTTAAACTATTTCTCGGCACATGGAACTTACAGCACTAAGCATGCTAAGGTGTAATTTCTATAACTTGGACACTGCATCATTCTATACAAAAATTTATGACACATCTTAATTTACCAGCTACACATATATTTGCTTGTAGACAGGTTTAATGCAAGCTGATATTACCAGATCAATAAAATAAATTAATTAAAAAAAAATTTCAAATACAACATGTAGTTCTGTTAGAAAACTTGACAACATACTTAAACACTCGAAGAAATTAATTCTCAACTAACCAATGGTCCACATCAATGCAGCTTCTACAGGACTTGTAGTCTCATCAATGTCATTGCCATATAAACATAGACCAGCTTCTAGTCGTAAACTATCTCTTGCTCCAAGACCTATTAATTTGACTTTTCCTTCTTTTGAATTCATCAGTCTTATTGCTAGCTCCACACTTTTGTCAGAAGGAACTGATATCTAGTTGAAAAATATTCTTGGTATTTATTTCAATTGTACTTGTTTTTGTTTAATGTTTGGTTTTTAATATAAATTATACTGACTAGTCAGTGAACAACCAATTATAAATCTGAATTCTTATTTAAGTGTCCTTTCAATTGAATTTATGTTTATAAGTTAAATTTCTACAATCTTTTGACAGTATAAACAGTCTACAATAAGACATTATTGTAACTGAAAATTTACCACTTTTTGCTATTAAATATATGAACTACAACCTTTTTTATTCATTGTTTGTAGAAATTTTATTTTCAAAATTAAAGGTCTATAAGTATGTTTAAGTTTTCCAATAATATACGAAGAACTAAATGTCCTGTTTTAGAATTGGCAACCACAAAGATCAATTGTATCACTAATCATGTGAAACAGCAGGTGCACAATTTCATACCATGAAGAAAAATCTGTTTGGTGCAAACGAAGATGACCATGCAATACCACAAAAACAATCCCTGCGTGTTTAGCAATTGCTGGACAGGGTTCGGCAACACCACACATGACAAAGATTTGTTTATTATACTTTTGAGATTTTTTGTTCTGTTTAGTTGATTAGTGCTTAATGTATCAAATTGTATGAAAAAAAAATCCTATCTTGCATCTGTCATTATATTTTTCATTGCTTGCTGCCTTTTCCATCTTGCATTCGCTATCTGAAGGAGAGGTGCAGGGTAAGCTTAAAAAAGTACTCCAACTACTTAAATGACAGTACAAAATCAGTTTAATGCAGTCGTAAAATGATTGTCCTTGTGGGACATTTGAAATGTTGAAAAGTGTTTTAATGCTTTTCATTCAAATACATTGTCCATTTGTTAGGGTTTTCAGTTTGGTGATTTTTCATGGGCATCTGTCAATTATATTGCTTAACAATATACTTTTTTTTTATATAGGAATTTAAAAATTTACTTGGCGTTATCAAATGATCAAACAGTATCAATAATACGGTATACTAGATTAATGGAATCAATGGCAGATACAGGGAGGGAGAGGTAAAAGTGGTGTACCCCTTTGATACAAAAATTAATTTGTTTATAAAACAAGAGTGCACACGCTGAAATGTCTCGCCTTCTTTACTAACCATTGATATTATGTTGATAGTCCTAAATGAAAGCTTTACTACAACTATTACATAAACTTAACATGATCCAAGAAAATGAAGTCAAGGTCATATAAACCAAACGAGAAATACACGTACACCTTACAATTATTCAATACACTAAATATAGTTGACCTATTGCTTATAGTTTCTAAGAAACAGACTTAACCATGAAAACTAAACATTGACCAATGAATCGTGAAAATGAGGTCAAGGTCAGATGAACCATGCCAGGCAGACATGAACAGCTTACAATCCTTCCATACAACAAATATAGCTGACCTATTGCTTATAGTTTAAGAAAAACAGACTGAAACACATAAACTTAACACTGAGCAATGAACCGTGAAAATGAGGTCAAGGTCAAATAAAACCTGCGAGACTGACATGTACATCATAGAATATTTCCATACACCAAATATAGTTGACTTATTGCATATAGTATAAGAAAAAAGACCAAAACTCAAAAACTTAACTTTGACCACTGAACCATGAAAATGAGGTCAATGTCAGATGACACCTGCCAGTTGGACATATACACCTTACAATCATTCCATACACCAAATATAGAAGACCTATTGCATAAAGTATAAGAAAAATGGACCAAAACACAAAAACTAAACTATAACCACTGAACCATGAAAATGAGGTCATGGTCAGGTGACACCTGCCAGCTAGACATGTACACCTTACAATCATTCCATACACCAAATATAGTAGACCTATTGCATACAGTATAAGAAAAACAGACCAAAACACAAAAACTTAACTATAACCACTGAACCATGAAAATGAGGTCAAGGTCAGATGACACCTGCCAGTTGGACATGTACACCTTACATTCCTTCCATACACCGAATATACTAGACCTATTGCTTATAGTATCTGAGATATGGACTTGACCACCAAAACTTAACCTTGTTCACTGATCCATGAAATGAGGTCGAGGTCAAGTGAAAACTGTCTGACAGGCATGAGGACCTTGCAAGGTATGCACATACCAAATATAGTTATCCTATTATTTATAATAAGAGAGAATTTAACATTACAAAAAATCTTAACTTTTTTTTCAAGCAGTCACTGAACCATGAAAATGAGGTCAAGGGCATTGGACATGTGACTGACGGAAACTTCGTAACATGAATCATCCATATACAAAGTATGAAGCATCCAGGTCTTCCACCTTCTAAAATATTAAGCTTTTAAGAAGTGAGCTAACGCCGCGGCCAGATCACTATCCCTATGTCGAGCTTTCTGCGACAAAAGTCGCAGGCTCGACAAAAAACTAGATGTGTCGGAACGACACGAATGGCCCCGTCTAAAAAAGATGAAAAATCTGCAATTTCAAAAACACATGTGGACACAAACATGCATGGATAGTATCCAGCTCTCAAGACCAATACTAGTTTGATGAACATGGTTGCCTCACATAGCAAAAAATCAGCCCAATATCTGATGGCGTATAGAAAAAAAATCTGTATAACTGTGATTTTCAACTATTCATCAAAATCTAAAGCCCGTAATTTCAGCAAAAATTTGCAGAGCCGAACGAAACTTAAACATGATCTGTAACTCATCATGGTTAACTCACAAACCAAAAATCAGCCCAATATCTGAAGGGGTTTAGAAAAAAAGTCTGTATAACTGTGATTTTCAACAATTTGTCAAAGTCCAAAGCGCGTAATTTTCGCAAAAATAAGCAGAGCAGAAAAAAACTTAAACTTGATCTGTAACTCATCATGGTTAACTCACATACCAAAAACAGCCCAATATCTGAAGGCGTTTAGAAAAAAAGTCTGTATAACTGTGATTTTCAACAATTTATCAAAGTCCAAAGCGCGTAATTTTCACAAAAATTAGCAGAGCAGAACAAAACTTAAACTTGATCTGTAACTCATCATTGTTAACTCACATACCAAAAATCAGCCCAATATCTGAAGGCGTTTAGAAAAAAAGTCTATATAACTGTGATTTTCAACAATTTGTCAAAGTCCAAAGCGCGTAATTTTCGCAAAAATAAGCAGAGCGGAAAAAAACTTAAACTTGATCTGTAACTCATCATGGTTAACTCACATACCAAAAACAGCCCAATATCTGAAGGCGTTTAGAAAAAAAGTCTGTATAACTGTGATTTTCAACAATTTATCAAAGTCCAAAGCGCGTAATTTTCGCAAAAATTAGCAGAGCGGAACAAAACTTAAACTTGATCTGTAACTCATCATGGTTAACTCACATACCAAAAATCAGCCCAATATCTGAAGGCGTTTAGAAAAAAAGTCTGTACAACTGTGATTTTCAACAATTTATCAAAGTCCAAAGCCGTAATTTTCGCAAAAATAAGCAGAGCGGAAAAAAACTTAAACTTGATCTGTAACTCATCATGGTTAACTCACATACCAAAAATCAGCCCAATATCTGAAGGCGTTTAGAAAAAAAGTCTGTATAACTGTGATTTTCAACAATTTATCAAATGCCAAAGTCCGTAATTTCGGCAAAAAATAGCAGAGCGGATTGATACTTAAACTTGATCTGTAACTCATCATGGTTAACGCACATACCAAAAATCAGCCAAATATCTGAAGGCGTTTAGAAAAAAATTGTGTATAATGGTTTGTTGCAGAATGATGGAATGACGGACAAGGGTAAAACTATATGGCTCCGACAACTTTGTTGCGGGGCCATAAAAATTTGCCTCTCTACACTCAGTAGTATTTTTGCCATTTTGTGCAATTATTTTCACTTTCCCTGGACCCTGCATCTGCCCCTACAACTTGAAGTTAAGAATAGGATATCACAAATGTACTAAACTTTAAAATATAAATATTAGGATTTCATTTTGTGTTCCGTTGGTTTACATATAAATATAAACTCCATATATCTATAAGACCAATGAAACGAATTCTTGTACCATTGATATAGATATCCACAAGGTTCTGGTTAGTGCTGATTAATTCATTATGTTACCCATACAGACTTTGCAAAAAGATTAAAATGGAAGAACCTGGCGAAATAAGGGCTGATTTGAAACAAAAGTTTAGTCCCCATGAAGTTACCAAAATGTCATTTGATTACTGACCTCCACACCATCTTCACCAGTATAACCACACCGTGTTACCCTACAATCAGATATACCATACACACTACATTGTCTGTTTGTCATGAATGGTAAAGTGTTCATATCAAAGTCAACAGCTTCCTGCATCACCTTACCAGCAGATGGACCTACAAAAAAAATCAATGAACACATTTAACTGTTTTAATTCATATACTGGTTTCATCATATACTCTACAACAAAACTCTGTTGAGGTAACGGTACCCTACCATAAAAGCTAAAGAATCTTCCATCAATTAATGAAGTGCAAAACAACCACTAAATGCAGGAGATTGGCATCGATTTTTATAATTCATGGCCAGCTAAATGTTTGGAATATGTGAAATATATTATTACGACTTAGGAAATAACACTAAGTTATTTCAGCACAACATTTGAATTAAGAATTCATTTCTTGGAATTTTAGGATGAGAAACACTCCTACTATCCAGAGTAAACACATTTCTTAAATATATCTATTTACAAGTCCAAACAATATTGAAGACTCAAACTTTCCATTTGTCATTTTCAAATTTTTACTGAATCACTGCTTGCTTCATGTATATCATGCTGTAAAAATAATCAATGAAATATGGGGAAGATGTACAAAAGACCAGTAAGAAAATCAGAGATTTGCAAGGAACCCAAGTTACTCCAAGACTGTATCAATGCACTCAAAATCGACAGCAATCAAGACAGAAAATGCCTATTAAAAATAAATTGTTTAAGTATTACCCCTGACTAACCTACTTGTTCCAGATTTTACCAGTATAAAAACAGTTGGATAGCAATCATAATAAATTCCTTGGAAGACTCCAAGAAAAGGGAGGGTAGTACAAATCTTTTAATTGTAATGAAATGAAGGCCTATAAATGATAAAAAGCTGCACAATCATTAATTTTGACTACTGCAAAAAAAGATGCACAGGCAACTTTTCATTCTAGTAAATGATTTTTCAGTTTTAGGCATAAAAGGAGTTCATATAGGAAATTGCACTGTCAGCCTATAGTGCATGCATTTGAAAACCATGGATATTGATGCAACTGTAAACCAAATATCAATGCTATATCAGAAGTACTTATTTTGAAATGGAACTAACCAGAAAATGTAACATTAAGTTTTACAGAACTAGATAACAACCTATTTGCACATGACTTATATTTTTAAGTACATTCATCAGTTAGGTTAGACTAGTTTTTATGATACTCTACAGAATAAAAGACTTCATACCCATCATCGATCATTGGTCAGTGTCTATTTAGTGATCAACGATCTGAAAAATGTGACCAATGACCATCACAAATAAAACATACCTTGTAGTGCCAATAAACCATTACATATAATTTCTACATCTACATCTCCACCTGCATTTCTAAATAGTTCAGCTTGAGTCTGAAGAGAAAAACAAGAGTGTACACGCTAAAATGTTTTGCCTACTATACTGACCATTGATTTTATGTTGATAAGTTTTATTACAAGTATCACATTAACATTTATGATCCAAGAAAATGAGGTCAAGGTCAGATAAACCAAGCCAGAAATACATGAACACCTTTAATACAATCATTTCATACACCGAATAGAGATGACTTATTGCTTATATTATAAAAGAAAGACTAAACCATGGAAATTTTGTATAGACCAATGAACCACGAAAATGAGGTCAAGGTCAGATGAATCCTGCCAGACAGACATGTACACCTTTAAATCATTCCATGCATCAAATATAGCTGACCTATTGCTTATAGTATCTAAGAAACAAAATATGCCAGGTAAACTGAACATTAACCAATGAACCATGAAAATGAGGTAAAGGTTAGATGATACCTGCCAGGCAGATATACACCTTACAATCATTCCATACACCAAATATAGTTGACCTATAGCTATTGCTTAAAGTTTAAGACAAGAGTGCACACGCTGAAATGTCTCGCCTTCTTTCCTAATCATTGATATTATGTTGATAGTCCTAAATATAAAGCTTTATTACAACTGTCACATAAACTTAACATTAACCAAGTAAACTAAACATTGACCAATAATGAACCATGAAAATGAGGTCAAGGTCAGATGAACCATGCTAGCAGGCATGTACAGCTAACAATTCTTCCATACAACAAATATAGTTGACCTATTGCTTATGGTTTAAGAAAAACAGACCAAAACACAAAAACTTAACACTGAGCAATGAACCTTGAAAATGAGGTCAAGGTCAAATGAAACCTGCGTGACTGACATATAGATCATAAAATATTTCCATACACCAAATATAGTTGAACTATTGCATAAAGTATTAGAAAATAAGACCAAAACTCAAAAACTTAACTTTGACCACTGAACCATGAAAATGAGGTCAATGTCAGATGAACCATGCCAGTAGGCATGTACAGCTAACAATTCTTCCATACAACAAATATAGTTGACCTATTGCTTATAGTTTAAGAAAAACAGACCAAAACACAAAAACCAAACACTGAGCAATGAACCTTGAAAATGAGGTCAAGGTCAAAGAAAACCTGCGTGACTGACATATTGATCATAAAATATTTCCATACACCAAATATAGTTGAACTATTGAATAAAGTATTAGAAAAAAAGACCAAAACTCAAAAACTTAACTTTGACCACTGAACCATGAAAATGAGGTCAAGGTCAGATGAACCATGCTAGCAGGCATGTACAGCTAACAATTCTTCCATACAACAAATATAGTTGACCTATTGCTTATAGTTTAAGAAAAACAGACCAAAACACAAAAACTAAACACTGAGCAATGAACCTTGAAAATGAGGTCAAGGTCAAATAAAACCTGCGTGACTGACATATAGATCATAAAATATTTCCATACACAAAATATAGTTGAACTATTGAATAAAGTATTAGAAAAAAAGACCAAAACTCAAAAACTTAACTTTGACCACTGAACCATGAAAATGAGGTCAAGGTCAGATGACACCTGCCAGCTAGACATGTACACCTTACAATCATTCCATACACCAAATATAGTAAACCTATTGCATACAGTATAAGAAAAACATACCAAAACACAAAAACTTAACTATAACAACTGGACCATGAAAATGAGGTCAAGGTCAGATGACACCTGCCAGTTGGACATGTACACCTTACAGTCCTTCCATACACCGAATATACTAGACCTATTGCTTATAGTATCTGAGATATGGACTTGACCACCAAAACTTAACCTTGTTCACTGATCCATGAAATGAGGTCGAGGTCAAGTGAAAACTGTCTGACGGGCATGAGGACCTTGCAAGGTACGCACATACCAAATATAGTTATCCTATTACTTATAATAAGAGAGAATTTAACATTACAAAAAATCTTAACTTTTTTTTCAAGTAGTCACTGAACCATGAAAATGAGGTCAAGGACATTGGACATGTGACTGACGGAAAGTTCTTTACATGAGGCATCCATATACAGAGTATGAAGCATCCAGATCTTCCACCTTCTAAAATATAAAGCTTTTAAGAAGTTAGCTAACGCCGCCGCTGGATCACTATCCCTATGTCGAGCTTTCTGCGACAAAAGTCGCAGGCTCGACAAAAAACAGACAAAAACACAAAAACTTAACATTGACCAATGAACCATGAAAATGAGGTCAAGGTAAAATAAAACCTGCCAGACTGACATGTACATTGTAAAATATTTTCATACATCAAATATAGTTGACCTATTGCATACAGTATTACAAAAACAGAGTGAGACTAAACAAAAAAACTTAACATTAAGCAATGAACCATGAAAATGAGGTCAAGGTCAAATAAAACCTGCCAGACTGACATGTACATTGTAAAATATTTCCATACACCAAATATAGTTGACCTATAGCATACAGTATTAGAAAAACAGACCAAAACTAAAAAACTTAACTATAACAACTGGACCATGAAAATGAGGTCAAGGTCAGATGACACTTGCCAGTTGGACATGTTAACCTTACAATCATTACATACACCAAATATAGTAGACCTATTGCTTATAGTGTCTGAGATATGGACTTGACCACGAAAACTTAACCTTGTTCACTGATCCAAGAAATGAAGTTGAGGTCAAGTGAAAACTGTCTGACAGACATGAGGACCTTGCAAGGTACGCACATACCAAATATAGTTATCCTGTTACTCATAATAAGAGAGAGGTTAACATTACAAAAAATCTCAACTTTTTTTCAAGTAGTCACTGAACCATGAAAATGAAGTCAAGGACAATGGACATATGACAGACGGAAACTTCATATCATTCGGCATCTATATACAAAGTATGAAGCATCCAGGTCTTCTACCTTCTGAAATATTAAGCTTTTAAGAAGTAAGTTAACGCCGCCGCTGGATCACTATCCCTATGTCGAGCTTTCTGCGACAGAAGTCGCAGGCTCGACAAAAAACAGAATTTGTATGATATTAGATATAACAACATCATTTCTTACATGCATGTCATTTTGACTCTGGTGGATTATTATAAGTTGTCTTATTGACAATCATACCACAACTCCTTATTTTTACAGCTATATTACATAATAGTGATAATGACAGTTTCTACAGCTCAGTTTAGAGTCTTTAACGCTCAGGTTCTAATTTCTTATGGTAAAGTACTTTTCTGATAGCTGATCTATAAAATCACAAAAGAAACTCTGGGATTACCATGCAAATGTAATGTATATGTACACAATGGCCAAGGAACCTACTTGTGTAATATCAATAAGTTCTTTTCAAATAAATAGCTGGAATGACATCAGTGTGAAAAAAAAAATCAACAAAATATAAAGGGAGATTACTCTCGTCATTCTTATGGTACTTTTACATGTAAAATGTTTACAAGATTTGCACTTTTGGTTAAGAGATCTATCCTACCACCTGACCACTAAATTCAGTGAGATATGAAACTTCTTAACTTAAGAAAATTAAGCATTACAATTTTCATTGTAATAGTGAAGATGTATCATGTCCCTTGAGACACGGTGGTAGAATCTGTTTCTCTAAGATTTTCTGAATAGATAATGGCAAACATTGAAGTTCTCCCCTAGTGACCTGAAAAAAATAATATTTTGACGAATTCAGGCAGGTCAGCCAATTTTCCTGTCATTAAATAGTTCTGGACATCAGAAAACCACAGGAAAATTTGACATCATAATTGTTCAAAGTTTGTCCAATGAAGAGCTAAGAACATTAGTAAACCACATTTTGTTTATACAAAAGAAAATTAGCATTTAATTAAGAAATGTATAAATCGCATATAGTTTTCAAAGAGCAAACTTTGTCATACCACATCCACTTTTTTTCATATTACTGTAAATTCAGAAATTTTGTGATGTTTTTAAATTCTGAATGGTTTTGAAAAAATATAACTCACATTTCAAATTTTGATAGTAATAATTGTTTGCAACATGTCCTTTATATAATCCTAATAGTTAATCTCACATTTTTGTTCAATGGTCAACAATAGTAATAATAAATGCACCAAAATATTTCTTAATTTACATTGCATTTATATGTATATTAGACATTTCAGATGTTGTTCAAATTGAAATGGTCATTTCAGACTAAAATACATTTACTTCTAGAGCGGATGCTTAAAAATAAATATTGGATTATCTTCTAATTTAACATACCAACATATTTTTTAGATCTTTTTCTGCACATCCAGCATTAGATACCACATATAAATATCCATCAGTTGTCTTGTTGATGATTAAATCGTCTAATATACCACCAGAATCATTAGTAAATACACTCAAAGTTCCCTGATTTTCTTTTAATCCATCAACATCGGCTACAGTCATACTTTCAATAAATCTAATGCTGTCTTCACCTGTGATCTTTGTCTGCAACATATGTGAGACATCAAACAAACCTGCATCAGATCTAACATGGAGATGTTCTGTAGTTATTCCTGCTTTATATTGTACTGGCATTTCCCATCCAGCAAATGGAACCATTTTCCCTTCATTATGAACATGGAAGTCATACAGGCATGTTCTTTTCAGATCCTGTAATGACAGTTAAAAAAAAACATTTTATTCTACTTCAAAAAATAATCTCATGAATAATCATATATAAAACTTTTTAAATAAAGAATTGGTTGATAGTTGTTTACTTAATGTCCTTTGACAAATATTTCCAACAAATTCAGGACAAGAACATTTTAATAATAAACCTAGTAACGAGAAGGCTATCTGGGATTTGGTCTGCCAAGTGAAAATAGCGCATGTTTGATTGGGAAAGAAATGTTGCATTTCAACAGGCCACAGGCATTTACAATTTAAAACAATTCTATCAACCATAAAATGTTACCATTGTTTATGTGACTGTGCCATTTTAGGTCTGATTGAATTGTCATGTCTATGTATTTTGCCTTGTCAACATGTTCAATAATGTGGACATGGATGGATTTTTATGTCAGCTGATGGACAGAACATTACATTTGTCAGGATGAAAAGCCATTTTTCAAGTGTATACCCAAATACCTAGTGTTATAAAGATTTTTTTTTTGAAGGGTTTCACAATCACTGTTAGATTTTATTACCAGATAAGCAATGGTGGGGAGCGTCTTTTTACCACAGAACACCACAGAATACCACAGAACACCACAGAACACCAAAAATATACCACAGAACTTCGAAATATAAATACTTCAGACATTATATTATTGTTATTGTTAATTCTTTTTATAATTTGACATTTATTATTCAAATAAATTTAATTTTTCTATTTAGGGTCGACTCACTATCGCTACGCCCCAAACTGAATTGGCCTATTACTGGGTCTATACCAAAAACACCTACCGGTATTAAAAACAATTGTAATTCTTGGGTATTTATCGTTGTAGTTGTCATTTTTGTTTAATTTTATGTTAAGAGTTGTTACAATATGAATAAATACATGTATATTATTAAATATTGAATAATAGTCCATGGAAAACGTTCTCTGACAACACTAGCGGCAATTCAGATGGACATCACAAACTAGTACATTAGTTTGGCTTTTGAAACACTGAATAGATTCTTGATACACTTGATGCAGTTCAAAACCAAATACTGTCGGCAATTCAGATGAAACGTTGTATACACATACTTTTCTTGAGATGAAATAAAAGTCATTGGACAATATTTCAGATTTTGGCAATACTTAATCTGACTATGGTGCCGTTTGAACAATATGAGTTTTAATCGGTTAAACAGAAAAGTTTTCATATGGACAGACATTATGAGTAAAAAACACAAGTGTATAAAAAATTGGAATTTTTATGTAACGAAAACATTTTCTGAGTGTAATGCAGAACATTTGTGTAACATTACAGTATATGTTCATAGTAATTCAGTTGTCAATACTATTAATTATATCTAAAATATTAAGTAAATATGTTGAACAGTGGCAATGCAATTTACAGTCAGCGAAAGCTTTATCTGGTAAAGGTGGTAACAAACTTCGAAAATATAATTTATTTAAGAACAGTTTTGAAAAGGAAACTTTTTGTGCAATTCCAATGTCATTTTCACAAAGGAGTTCTTTTGTCAATTTTCGATGTGGTGTACCACCACTAAGAACCGAAACAGGGAGATTTGAAAAATTACTTTTAGAGGAGCGAGTCTGTGATAGTTGTAAGGATATTTTAGAAGATGAAGCCCATGTTATTTTATCGTGCCCTTCAGTTATATGACGATTTTAGAAAAGAATTATTTGATGAAGACATATATTTTAATAGTGATTTTATGTCTTTTGATGATAAACAGAAATTAGTGTTTTTATTTACAGATGTTAATATGATTCGTAGCTGTGCCAAAGCCTTTTGTTAGAACTTTTTGTATATTTTCTACTATTAATATTTTCAAACTTTACATTGATGAAAACTAATTCGTTAGGTTTAAGGGATATTTACCTGAAGCTAATTAGCATTATGTTTTGACAATCTAATCTGATGAATCCCTTGTTTATTCAACTATTCCTTCTATTCCTACATGGATTTCTTACAAATGACATACAAAATTTTAGGAGGAATAAACCATTTAATTGAATTATACCTTGCATAATCAGATGGCAATTAGAATTCAATTAATTGACAATATTGTAAATAGTTGATTATTTTAAAATTTATTAACAGAATTGGGAGAAAAACTTAATCGTAAAAGTGTAATTGGCGCCAGGAAAATTCATCATGTCAACTTTTTTTTTTATAGAAAAAAGCATTTTTTTTATAGAAAAACATTTATTCATAGAAAATCATTTTTTTTTATAGAAAAACTTTTTTTTTACAATAAATTGTTTTTAAAAGATTTTTATGAAATATAGTTTACAATGTAGTATCTCAAAGGTCTCCAAATATAAAAAAATCTACCTAATAACAAAAAAAGTTATGATCATTAAAGAAATTTATATCTCATCCGGTCAATCGTCCTGTCATTTGTGTAGCCCGAATTATAAAAATAATATAATTCTTAATTATTAGTTTTGCATTTTGTAAAGTAATTCAATGTTCTGTGGTATATTTTAGTAGTTTTATTGTATTTTGTGTAGTTCTGTGGTATATTTTGGGTGTTCTGTGGTATTCTGTGGTGTTCTGTGGTATTCTATGGTGTTCTGTGGTAAAAAGACGCTCCGGCAATGGTGTGGTCTGCAAATAGGCGTATGGTGGAATTTAAGTCAACTAGAATGTCATTCATGTAAAACAAAAAACAGAATTGGGCCAAGAATAGATTCATGAAGCAGCAGTGGTTCAAGGCTCTGAGAAATCAACTGGACATTGGATCCTGTAAAACATTCTTCTTAACTGGACCAGACTCTTTTTTACAAATTACAGGACATTTACACAAATGATTTACAAAAAAAAATTTCTGGTAATTTGGTCCAGTAATGCATATCACTTAACTGGACCAAACCAATTTTTACTGGTCTTTTCCCAATGTCCAGCAACCTTGGGAATCACTGTGAGGCACTCCTGACTTCACAGGTTTATAGCCTGAAGTGACTTAGTCTCACGCTCTAGGATCACTGCTTGGGTACATTATGGTAAGTAGCACTGTATCCATGCATTTGTTTTAGCCTGTATCCTACTTACAAATTATCAGTGAGAAAATTAAATCTCATGAAAAATTCTCTTATGAGATAATGTTGTATAACCCAATTGAGCTTATATATAGCCCGATAGGTCAGGACTGGTGGATTCTCCATTTCAGTATCTTTCAATTCATTCTTTTTCCAGGAAAAATGTGATGTAAACAATGATAAAAAACAACTATCTTTATATCATAATGTCCTATGACATTTGCCACTATATGACCACAGGACAAACAGACAGTTTATTTATACTAAGAGTCATAATTGGAATTTGGTGTATTAATGCCATAATGGCACAGACGGTTTAGAAAACAGATTTGAGCAAGAAAATCAAATGAAATGACCTTAAAATGTCAGGAAAATCATAAAACATGTAAATATCCCTGTTAGGCGATATCAAAGAACCAATGAGCAGGGTAACTATAATTTGTTTCGAATAATTTTCCATCAAAATCTTCAAGTTGAAGTTGAAGTTCAGCTGATAAAAAGTTAATATCATGAGCATTACCAAGTGTGTTTGAGATTTGCAAAATTTACGAATATGTCTTTGATTTGAGATCAGACTATTCTTCAGTCTCAAAACTTTTGAAAACATGATAAATGAGAGCGAAATCTACAAGTTAACATTAATCTTGCAGATGACAAGATTTTAGTCACAGGCTTTTTTAATTAATGATATTTTCGCATTAATAGATTTTAAGAACAAATTGACATCAAGATTTTTTCGATGAGCAAACAAAATGAAAATTTATAGTATTTAATTGAATGAAAAGCTGTTTAAAATTAAATCTATGTTTTAAGAATGCTTGCATTGGATTCGAAATAACAGAAGGCTATTTTTTTATATATTTGTTACAGTAGCTGTCATTGGCCAAACAAGGAAATAAATCATTATAATGTTTTATGATTCTTTACCCTATAAATACATTTATTTTCGATTGAAGCAAAGCCAAAATAAAATGTGCATTCCAGATTTCGCTTGTTTAAGCTCAAAATAATCTGTGAATACGGCTGTAATTCCAAAGCCTTCGACCAATCAAATGTTCAGACACAGATTGACCTAGATTGCTGAATTCCTGTCGAAATTTTACTCATATTTTTTTCACAGAAAAGACCGGAAGAACTGTCAAAATGTTATATTTAGAGGATTATTTAGAAAGTAAAATCCATGTTCTTTAATTTGCCTTCCTTATTTTTACTGTTAGATTAGAATCTAAACCATTTAATCCGTTTTCAGACTTCTTTTACAAAAGGGAGACAACTCTATTTACCTCAATGTATGGAGCACATGCTTCACATAAATTTGAGCATTGGTTTTGAAATAAAATTTTGCAATAAATTAGGGAATTGTTCTCCTTCAAAGTACCGAATTTTTAAAGGGGGAAATAACACTTTTAACATGTAAGGCACTATCTTCCATCACCAAAAGTTGCAAAATTTTCAAAGTTTACAGAGTATCCCAGTTCGATACATTAAAACAACCCTGCATGTGTCTGCTACTCTCTCATCAGGGTTATCATTATGTACATTCCTTGCGATGAAGCAGCCAAGGGTGATTCACTCCTGGCAGACATACTGTGTTTAAACGTTTATGTAGAAACTTTAATGACTGATGTCCTCCATCACTATAGACCTTATCTCTATTGTATTTGGTAATCTGCAAACACTTGAACTTTTGACATCATTTTATGGCATCAGAGATTTTTCTTGTGACATCATAATTTTACTGGAACTTTTGTGATGTCTAACTATATCGGACAAATAGCAATAAGGTGTATGCTAATACACAATGTAAGACATAATTTATGCCGAATAAATAACTCAGAGACGAAAGATCCACATTGACTAGCTTTATTTTTACGGTTAGAATATTGATATTTCATGAAAATAAAAGGTAACATGTATTTACAATAGTTCTATGGGTGTGTGGCCTCCAAAATAGGTCATGATTGGTTACATTTTATATATGTACATGATCTACAAAATAAAACAAAAATAATATATAAATAAACAAATGCAAGTACACTGTACCAGACCAGAATTAAGTTAATTACATGACAAAGTAATTTATTGCATTTCAATAACATAGATTTTTAAATGTATTAAATTACATTATATTTTATTAAATGTAGTGAATAACTGATTTTTAAGTGTAATTAATTACATTAAAATTACATTGTCAATGTAATAAATTTTGATTCAGTTACTTTCGTGCCAAGAATTTTATCATATTAAATAAAATGTGAACCATCTAGTATGAGGCCTTTTTACAAAATTATTGTTTGGCATTGAAACATTTGTAGAAACATTGTTTTAAGTTTTGAAATATCATTTCAATTTAACATTTAGTTATTAATAGATATATGTTTCAAAGGCATCTGTAACTTGAGTTTACCTCACACAGATTTATTGTATGTGAAGATGTGGTATGATTTCCAATGAAACAACTCTCCACAAGACATGCAAGAGACTAAATGACGTAGAAGTAAGCAACTATAGGTCATCATATGGCCTTCAACAATGAGCAATACCAATACCACGCAGCAAGCTATAAAAGGCCAAAAAGATGAATGTAAAACAATTCAAACAAGAACACTAGCAACTGCCTGATTGATGTACAAAATAATAAAAGAAAAACAAATATGTCAGATATACAACAAACGACAACTACTGAATTACAATCTACTGACTTGGGACAGAAACACACAGAATGTGGCGGGGTTAAACATGTTAGCAGGCGCCCAATCATGCCTTTTTTAAAACCTTGTGTGTTTTTTTTTCTATTTCATCAATACCGATTCATAACTTGTTTTTGTTTGTTGTTTTTTTTAATTTACCTATGTTTTCTCTGGAAATCCTGTGCTGTGTAAATAATAAAAAAAAAAAACATTGGAAGGATCTATTCAATAGGTTACCCAACAGTTTGAACCAATAAAATTTACATCAATTATGTAAATTCATTTTTTTCACATTTAGACTTAGCATGCTTAGGAACTTTTTCATTTTCTAGAAAAATTTACAACTTTCATGTAATTGCAACTTCATATATATTGTAAACATTCTACATTGATTTGTCAAAAATATTGTAAACTGGCCATTTGAGATTTTGACCAATTTTTGATTTCAAACATGTAGATATTAATTAATAAAATAAATGACAATTAGAAGATATAGAGAAAAACTGAAAACATAAAAAAAAATATCAGCAATACACAAATGATACACAACAAAAAAGAGATCTATCTTAGTCAAGAACTATATTCTTGTCTTCAATGTTGGAGAGTGGCCATTGTTGAAAATGCATATGGATCCAAGTGAGCAACACAGGCTCCTTCAAGCCTCGAATTGGATCACTTAAATTTATCTCTCTGGTATTCAAAAACCATTCAAGAAAAAATCTAAAACATTTACATGATGTTAAAGGATTCAATGTTAAATATGAACAACAGAAAACTGAATTCTTTTTAATTAGTCATTGAGCCAACATAATGAAGACCAATTTGAAATGTGCCCTTTATTGTGTTTTCGCCACATATATGTATGTATTTTAAAAGTGCATATGTTGTATAATCAACTGTGTTACTTATAAAGTATTGTCATTGTGGTTTGTTTAGAAATATTTCTTACACAAACTCTCACATGATCAAACTTAATAATTAGTAATTAAAAAACTATTTTATAGTGATTGAGAATTTGCCAATGGAAATGAGAGAAAGACTTACAGAAATGAGAGAAATGGATTTACAAGTTCAAAGTAAGATATTTATGATGCAAAGTAACTGCAATGCAGCATTTACATTACCACAGATAAAAAGAAAATAGTTATACTTGTTCAGTAAGAAATAATTCCTTGGAGCATATAAGTTTTTGATTCAGCCATGCTGGATCTATGTGATCACTCCGGATTTGGAGATGGTGCAACATTCTAAGTTGAAGACATATCATGAAAATAATTATGTGTTTCTATGACTTGCAGAAACTTTATACACCATTTTAATCATCAACTGCCAACTTTTATGTTATTTGTCCTTAAACTAAGAAAAGTTTGGGCGAACAACTTCTTTATTTTAGATATACACTTGCATATAGTTCCTTTGTAAATCAAAATTTATATTAAATTGTCATTTTTCATTAATGTGGAAAATGTAATTTATCAAATTTAAGCAGATGATATGAATAATAATTAATGTTTTATCAGTACCTTATGTTCCTATAAGCCATTGAAGGCTAATTAGTTGTCGAACAGCTGAAATTTACCTGTTCAGGTGACAGGTAAACTATTTTGAACCGGACATTGATCAGTCTATTCAAAGTTATTTTCTTACATTTCAGCAGTTTGCATCTAATAAATTTAGTCAAAAAGATTTAAGTATCAGAAATACGTTTACAAATATGATTTGATGAAAATATTAAAAAGGGGAAAATGAAAAATCGTCCACGTTGTTTGAACCAGAGACATGTCTCTGTTTGAACTAGTACACGTATGCACATGTGCGCAGGTGCGAAATTTAATTATGCATCCTAATTTCTTCAAAAAATGCCTAAATTGTCATTGATACCTTTATCTCACATTTATTTCGAATATTTTCTTGAAGAAATAACGTAGAAAGAGCTACTTCCACTCATTCATGCTTTGAAAACGTACACAGAATTTACGTATCCATCTCTGGTCCATGTTTTACCATTGTCAAGATAACATCCGGGATTTAAAAACGAAAGGAGAAGTTTTTGACAACGTTATTTTGCACAAATAAAGAGTCTAAGGCAGATATAGGTACGCAGATGTTGCACACTTCGAATGATGCACTGCCAATTTAACAGTTTACGTCAGAACTTCGAATTTGAATCAAAGAAAGTTTGATATCGTTTTTTTTTTAATGTCAATCATTGGGATGGCCAACTCGGCAACTGATTACCATAATTGCCTTTTGTTTATTTAGTCTTAAGGGATTAAAATAATAAATAAAATGTCCGGTTGGCTAAAAATAATTTTGGAAGCCCTGGTGTACCTATTATTTATTTTGATCAACACTACATTAATTTATTCTGCTAATTTTGTGTGAAAGCTGACTGATTAATAAGATTTGGGTTTTTTTTTCAAAGAACAGACTTAAAAAAATATATATAAAAAAAGCAACCAGATTTTATTTCACTTGTAAAATCAATGAATCAGTGTCATAATCATCTGACATAAGTTAATAATTAAAGTCTATATAAGTTACAATTATCAGTAATTTGGTTGAAACAATAAACACAATTGCATAACTCTTACCTGAGCATTTTCTGCAATAAATTTATTTGTACAATGTATAATTCCCCATTATATTGCTATTTAACAGTAATTGAAATTATCTCAGTATTAGGTATTTGTACATGTATATTTGAATACAGGAAATGTATTTTTCCTTAGTGAAGAATGAACACCAATTTAGATAAAAATTAGTTATCTATTTTTGATGTTGTTGAGAAAGGGCATTGTTAATGCCTCTTTATGGCATATAAAAAATATGCTACACGTTTTAAGATTTCCTTTAACATTCTTGTCAAAATCATTGAATTTCAAATGTTTCTAAAAAAAATAAGATGTAAAAAATCTGACAGTGTCTTGATTCAGACTCTTCAATTGAAATACCAAAATAATTTGCATCAATATTGCAAAATTCTCCATCTTTGGGCAATAGTATAGAAATTTTAAAGTGAGATTATGGTAATGAAAAGAAAAGAATTATTGAAAGTATGGTCAGAAAAAATGTCAGACTGGCTACAAAAATGGCTGGATCACAACATCCATGATGCTTTGATTTGAATATTTCATCATTACCGGTAGTATGGCTTGCTTATGAATTTAATTTCTTACTATGAATTTAATTTCTTATTATTAATTTAATTTCTTATTATGAATTTACTTTCTCATTATGAATTGATCCACCATAATAGATGGAAGGAGGATGATTTTCTGCAAATAATACATGTTATGTTCCAGACTTATTCCTTGGTAAAATCAGAAACAAACTACAGAACAATTGATTTGAACAGACTTAAAAAAATATATATAAAAAAAGCAACCAGATTTTATTTCACTTGTAAAATCAATGAATCAGTGTCATAATCATCTGACATAAGTTAATAATTAAAGTCTATATAAGTTACAATTATCAGTAATTTGGTTGAAACAATAAACACAATTGCATAACTCTTACCTGAGCATTTTCTGCAATAAATTTATTTGTACAATGTATAATTCCCCATTATATTGCTATTTAACAGTAATTGAAATTATCTCAGTATTAGGTATTTGTACATGTATATTTGAATACAGGAAATGTATTTTTCCTTAGTGAAGAATGAACACCAATTTAGATAAAAATTAGTTATCTATTTTTGATGTTGTTGAGAAAGGGCATTGTTAATGCCTCTTTATGGCATATAAAAAATATGCTACACGTTTTAAGATTTCCTTTAACATTCTTGTCAAAATCATTGAATTTCAAATGTTTCTAAAAAAAATAAGATGTAAAAAATCTGACAGTGTCTTGATTCAGACTCTTCAATTGAAATACCAAAATAATTTGCATCAATATTGCAAAATTCTCCATCTTTGGGCAATAGTATAGAAATTTTAAAGTGAGATTATGGTAATGAAAAGAAAAGAATTATTGAAAGTATGGTCAGAAAAAATGTCAGACTGGCTACAAAAATGGCTGGATCACAACATCCATGATGCTTTGATTTGAATATTTCATCATTACCGGTAGTATGGCTTGCTTATGAATTTAATTTCTTACTATGAATTTAATTTCTTATTATTAATTTAATTTCTTATTATGAATTTACTTTCTCATTATGAATTGATCCACCATAATAGATGGAAGGAGGATGATTTTCTGCAAATAATACATGTTATGTTCCAGACTTATTCCTTGGTAAAATCAGAAACAAACTACAGAACAAATGCATAAGAGTGTCATACCAGATTTACATTTTATTTTTCTGTATAAAAAGATTTTCTTTGCATTATTTTAGATGAATTATTGCATTTACACAATTACTGGTTTTTAAAAGTGTATATAAAATGTGGTACATACTCATGTTTATGGTTAATTTTTGTTTCGGCTGAGACGAAGATCGCAGTATGCAAGACATAGGTATTACTATCTGGCGGTGGCGGCATAATCTATTTGTATAAAGCTTTATATTTCAGAAGGTAGAAGACCTGGATGATTCATATCTTGTATGCAGATACCTTATGTTAGAAAGTTTCTGTCTATCATATGTCCAATGTCCTTGACCTCATTTTCATGGTTCAACGACTGCTTGAAAAAAAAATTGATTTTTTTTGTCATGTGAATTTCTCACTTGTTATGAGTATTATATAATAGGATAACCATATTTGGTATATGGGTTCCTTGCAACATCTACATGTCCGTCAGACAGGTTCACCTGACCTCTACATTTCATGGATCAGTGATCAAGGTTAAAGTTACGTGGTTAGGTTCGTTTCTCAAATACTATAAGCAGCAGGTCAACTATATGCGGTGTATGGAATGATTGTAATGGGTACATGTCAGTCTGGCAGGTTTCTTCTGACCTTGACCTCATTTTCATGGTTCATTGGTCAATGTTAAGTTTTTGTGTTTTGGTCTGTTTTTCAAGTACTATAAGTAATTGGTCAACTATATTTGGTGTAGGTGTAATACCACCATTGTTTTTCCCCTATTAGTCTTTGTTAAATTTGCACTTTTCAAAAAAATGTGCAGAATTTATCTTTGTTTCAAATGAAGAAATACTTACCATCACTGGAAGTTAACCAATCAAATTTTCACCCCTTTTTTTCCTGTGTACAATGTTTAGTAACCATGTAACCTCAAGTTTCCAAAATATTCTATAGAAACACCAAATAAGAAAAGAATGGTGCTTTGAAACACCCAAGATATATGTTTATGACTCAGAAATTGTTTACTGCAGTGAAATGTAGGACAACTGTCAAATTCAAGGGAATATTTTTTTTGAACCTTTTTCGTATGCAACTGGATGTGACGTACTATGATTAGGTGGAATTACACCTGTATGGAAAGATTGTAAGATGTACAAGTCTCTCTGGCAGGTATCATCTGACCTTGACATCATTTTCATGGTTCATTGGTCTGTGTCAAGTTTTTGTGTTATGGTCTGTTTTTTAAGTACTGTAAATTCAGAAATTATTGCGTGCATTTATTATTGCGATTTTGTCATTTAAGACTAAAATGCGATTTTAATTTTTGCGATATTGAGAAAAATCATGTGTAAATCGTATAAAAAATTTCAAAATGCGAGTTTAAATTATTGCGATTATAACCCTGTTGCATTTTTCGCAATAATAAAAAAATCGCAATAATTTCTGAATTTACAGTACTATAAGAAATAGGTCAACTATATTTGGTGTATGGAATGACTGTAATGGGTACATGTCTGTCTGGCAGGTATCAGCTGACCTTGACCTCATTTTCATGGTTCATTGGTCAATGTTAAGTTTATGTAGTTTGGTCTGTTTTTCAAGTACTATAAGCAATAGGTCAACTATATTTGGTGTATGGAAGGATTGTAAGGTGTACATGTCTGTCTGGAAGGTATCATCTGACCTTGACATAATTATATATGGTTCAATGGTCAATGTTAAGTTTTGTGTTTTGGTCTGTTTTTCAAATACTAATAGCAATAGGTCAGCTAAATTTGGTGAATGGAAGTATTGTAAGGTGTACATGTCTGTCTGGCAGGTATCATCTGACCTTGACGTCATATTTATGGTTCATTGGTCAATGTTAAGTTTTTGTGTTTTGGTATGTTTTTCAATTAGCATACGCAATAGGTTAACTATTTTTGGTGTATGAAAAAATTGTAAGGTGTTTATGTCATGTCTGACACAATTTATCTGACCTTGACCTCATTGTCATAGACTGTTTAAAAATGTTAAGTTTTAGTAAAACCTTTATCTTTAAACATAAAATCAATGGTCAGTAAAGCAGGCGAGACATTTCAGCGTGTGCACTCTTGTTGTTTAGTTTTGCTTACAGTGTACAAGCTATTTCAAATATTCTTCATGAATAACTAACAACATACAAACTATTTCAGACTCTCTTGATGAATTGCTAACAGTGTACAAACTATTTCAGACTCTTGATGAATTACTAACAGTGTACAAACTATTTCAGACTCTCTTGATGAATTACTAACTGTGTACAAACTATTTCAGACTCTCTTGATGAATTACTAACTGTGTACAAACTATTTCAGACTCTCTTGTATCTTGATGAGTTACTAACAGTGTACAAACTATTTCAGACTCTCTTGATGAATTACTGTGTACAAACTATTTCAGACTCTCTTGATGAATTACTGTGTACAAACTATTTCAGACTCTCTTGATGAATTAATAACAGTGTACAAACTATTTCAGACTCTCTTGATGAATTACTGTGTACAAACTATTTCAGACTCTCTTGATGAATTACTGTGTACAAACTATTTCAGACTCTCTTGATGAATTACTAACTGTGTACAAACTATTTCAGACTCTCTTGATGAGTTACTAACAGTGTACAAACTATTTCAGACTCTCTTGATGAATTACTGTGTACAAACTATTTCAGACTCTCTTGATGAATTACTGTGTACAAACTATTTCAGACTCTCTTGATGAATTACTAACTGTGTACAAACTATTTCAGACTCTCTTGATGAATTACTAACTGTGTATAAACTATTTCAGACTCTCTTGATGAATTACTAACCGTGTAAAAACTATTTCAGATGCTCTTGATGAATTAGATGAACGAGTCAAATCATTTTTCAAGAAATGTACACAGCCAAATGCAAAACAGGAGTGGAAAGATGAACAGTTTGAGAAAATAAAAAAGGTATACAATATCAAGAATAAAAAAGAGATATGCTGTTAGTAAAATACAAAAACAATGGAGTGTATACATGTTACATATATATTAACAGAAATTAAAAGATATCCATGCATCAGGCAAGAAGAAAAAATGTTATGGTTTGTGATTACACAGCTTAGTCTCTATGATTACCATGATTACTGTTAATTCAATTTGTTTATCAGAAAACTTGAAATTAAAATGATCATGTTGTTCCAACATTCCAAAACGTGCATTTTTGAAATTGCAACTTTTTCTATCAATAGAAAATATAAAATGACAAGCTTTTAGTAAAATATAGAAAGTACTGTGAAATGATGAAGTGTATGTCATATTCTTTAAACAAATTTTAAGGGGGATGGGGGAATCAGCCTGTCTGTCCATCTGCCTGCCTGTATATGTCTGTCAGTCAAGGGAAATACACTAACAAGTTTTCTTATATTCCGGTACAGGTAAATTGTTTTTTTTGGTAGAGATATCTCCCTAAGTCATCCAGATTTTGATTTACTCATTTAAGTAAAATAGTCATATTTTCTGCTTTTCTTGAATTGCTCTCCATTACATTATTCTAATTGAGTGTTTATTTGTCTGTCTTTATTAGTTGTATTTAGTATTCATAGCAGTATAATTACACGTTTTTTATTTATGGAAATATTAAACTTACATCTATATATTTCAGGACTATTACAAATCTTTAGAAGATGCAGATGAAAAAGTTCATTTAGCAACTCATATATATGATCTTGTAAGTTTTGCTGGTCATCTTATATGTATGTTATATATATGTGTAGGTATTATAGACCTATAAATAATGAAAACTTATTTATCTTTCAATGAAAATGTTAAATACTTATGGATGCATGTATCATCAAGACTTGCGAAAGGATTACATTTTTTCAACAACAAAAAACCAAGGGAACAACAAAAAATACAAGTTGACCATGGACATCATTACCAAAAGAAGTAAGACGAAAGACATGTAAGAGGTCCACCAAACACTACACAGAAAATGAAATGTTGACCATATTTTATTTGAAATTAATATTTCAAAATGACAGTAACCCAACAACTATTACAGGTAAACATAGAACCTTCAACAACGGACAAGTGTCCAATCCAATTCCCAGAAGTTATGAATTAACAAAATTTTTAATATTTGAAGTATCAAACAATATCAGACATTAAATGGGAGTGTTTTAAGGAAAAAATATGTCATTAAGTGGTGTCATAAATATGTTTTCAGGTTGACAGACATTTAAGAAAATTAGATCAAGAATTATCAAAATTTAAAATGGAACTTGAAGCTGATAATGCAGGAATTACTGAAGTTTTAGAAAAAAGTAAGTAGATGTAATAAAACATCTGACATAGTCTTTGACAAGATTATTGTTATTAAACATTTGAAGTTTCTATTCTTCATCTTGTTTCTTCTCACTTAAAATTTCTGATGTTAGTCAACATTAACGTCAAGAACTCATACATGTTAGTATGCAGATTAATATGTAGAAGTTCAACAGATGAAAGTTTTACTGCATTTTTCACAGCTGGATTTTGAGCCTTTGGAAAGAAAATAACAGGGCAATACAAATGAATAGATCTATTTCATGACCAATGATTTACCATGTATATTTTCAGGGTCACTAGAGCTAGATAAACCTCCATCTATCAATAATCATAGAACAGAAAGTAAGTAGAATAATGTTAAACATAGTTAAAATATTTTATCATTGCAAAATAAATGGTTATCAGGTTATTGCACAAATATTTATAATATATATATATATATATATGTGCATAGTAGAATTTATCATTTCACAAGCTTTCAAGTGTAATCCCCTATTTATATTAATGCAACAACTCTTTTTTTATATGAATAACTTTTTATTTGACATCTTGATATTCATGCCATCTTGTGAACAAATATTTTCATAATTATACCCCACGCAACGAGTTGAGGGTATAATGTTTTTGACCCGTTCGTCAGTCCGTCAGTCCTGTTTCTTGTCATCGCAACTCCTCTCAAACCACACAACAGAATTTCACGAAACCTTTTTAGATAAGAAGGACATACTATGTAGTTGTGCATATCGACAGGAAATTACGGTTCAATTCTTTTTCTAGGAGTTACGCCCCTTTGAACTTATTTACTTTAATGTACTACTGCAACAGTTTGTCATCGCAACTGCTCTCAAACCACACAACAGAATTTCATGAAATCTTTTCAGATAATAAGGACATACTACGTAGATGTGCATATCGACAGGAAATTACGATTCAATTTTTTTCCAGGAGTTATGCCCCTTTGAACTTATTTGCCCAATATACTACTGCAACCTTTTGTCATTGCAACTCCTCTCAAACCACGCAACAGAATTTCATGAAACTGTGTAGATAATAAGGACATACTATGTAGATCTGCATATTGACAGGAAATTATGATTCAATTTTTTTTTCTGATACAATTTTTTTTTCTTACACTTATTTTATTTCTCCAATGACAATGTGGGGATGTGGGGTATGTGAGTGCGCTCACTAAGGTTCTTTAATTTACTCAAGGAAAACCTACATCAATACTCAATAATATTTATACATCCAATATTAATACGGAGAACATATATCTTGGTGCTTATGTTGGTCTAACACAAAAGAGTAGAAAATATTCAGACATTTACATCCCAGGAATGTTTTTTTTTAATACATATAAATTTTAATTCAAACACACACAAATTAATTCCCTTAAATATAGGAATATTCCGACAGCCTTTGTTTCCAAAACAGCCAAAAATTTCAAATTGATATCTGTGTAAAGACACTTATGATAATCATTTTCTTTTTTTTTTTTTTTTTTGTAAACAAAGAATTGAGATATTGATCTGATTATATGTGTTTCAGCAATACAAGAGTATAAGTTTTGTCACAGTTATCTAATTTTAATTGATTTATTGCCTCTTTGACTTGAAAAGGGATTTTAAAAAGTTGTTGGAGATTGGTAAAAGTACTTTAAGTGAGTAAGGCAATTACATAAGGATTAAGCTATCTGTGCCAGTGGGAAGGCCATCAATGATGAAATAGTTCCTTATACACATATGTTTTATATATATTACAGAGAGAAGAATTCTGCATTCTCAGCCTGTAATGAACAATCACTCATCAGAAAAGAGAATAGCTACAGAAAAAGTATTATCATCTTTGGCCCATGAGGCTGCATTGGAGGCTATAGGTCAGCGTAAACCACAATCCAATTCTAACTCCCCAGCATTATCAATGTTTAACTCAACATCAGTACCATCATTAACTTACAGTCTAGGTAAGTCTATCAATATATTTCTTATTTATTCAGAAATTTCAGGTGTATTAACGACCCTTTTTTACAAGAAATCATGAAATTTCTTTTTGTTTTTCTTCAATATTTCATAAAGCAGATTGAAAAAGAGATTGTCTAAATTACTGTTCCTACAAAAGAGAATGAACGATCTTCCTAAAAACTCATGTGTTATTTTGGAACATTAGTGGAATTGTGGATTTCTGTTCTTTTTTTTATTTAGGAATTATTATAAAGAGATGAGGTGTGACTGTCAGTGAAACAAAAAACCACCAACACAAACCATAAATTATTCACTGATGCACAAATATTTAAATCATATCACAAACCTTAAATTTTCAAAGTTTAATTAGATTTTAAAAGTATTGGACCGAGGAAGCAAAAAATCCTGACATCAATTGCAAATTCTTTAGGTAAACAAAAAACATAAAAAAGACAGCTACTAAATTATAAAATTGAGAATGGAAATGGGGAATATGTCAAAGAGACAATTTTGTGTACTAGTTCAGTGAAAATGGACGTCACACAAAACTCTAAAACATATAAATGAACTAAAATTTAAAACATACAAGACTAACAAAGCCCAGAGGCTCCTGACTTGGGACAGGCACAAAAATGCGGAGGGGTTAAACATGTTTTGTGAGATCTCAACCCTCCCCCTATACCTCTTAGCAATGTTGTATAAAGAAACACATAGTAATATGCATAGTAAAACTAGTTTAAAAGAAGTCCGAGTCTGATGTCAGAATAGGTAACAAAAGAAACCAAGTATGTCTTTATACAAATATATCTGGGTTTCAACTGTCATTTTTAAAAGAAAAAATAAAGCAAACTTAGCAAAAAGTATGTTGCTTTTCAAAAAAAGGAAAAGTAGGTCTTTAATATAAAAAACAAGATTTATTTTGAGCTGTCTGTTGTTTTTTGTATTTTGACAGGTTACTGTACATGTGTCATTGATGTATACCCCACATCTCTCTTTATTCATAAGATAAACATTAATACATTTGAGCACCAACTGCCATATTTGATGGTTATAGGGTCATTCTATGCACAAAATTAAAATATGTAATGGTTAAAAAAATAACCAAAATTAAAATATGTAATGGTTAAAAAATAACCAAAATACATCAAAAGATCAACGGATTGTCTTCAACAATAGACATGTGTCTATAATAGATGCAATATCAATGCTCTAAATTACTGGAGTTTAAAAAACCTTTCCATGTGGTTGAGATAATAATTAAACTAGTCCTTATTTAAATCTCAATCAGTGGAATTACAAAATGTATATAAATATGGTAAAAATGTTTTTTTAGCCATGCTTTTTGTCGAGCCTTCGACTTTTGTCGAAAAAGCGAGACATAGCGATCCTACATTCCGTCGGCGTCGTCGTCGTCGTCGTCGGCGGCGTCCACAAATATTCACTCTGTGGTTAAAGTTTTTGAAATTTTAATAACTTTCTTAAACTATCCTGGATTTCTACCAAACTTTGACAGAAGCTTGTTTATGATCATAAGATAATATTCAAAAGTAAATTTTGTAAAAAAAAAATTCCATTTTTTTCGTATTTTACTTATAAATGGACTTAGTTTTTCTGCCAAGAAACATTACATTCACTCTGTGGTTAAAGTTTTTGAAATTTTAATAACTTTCTTAAACTATCCTGGATTTCTACCAAACTTGGAAAGAAGCTTGTTTATGATCATAAGATAGTATCCAGAAGTAAATTTTGTAAAAAAAAAAATCCATTTTTTCTGTATTTTACTTATAAATGGACTTAGTTTTTCTGCCAAGAAACATTACATTCACTCTGTGGTTGAAGTTTTTGAAATTTTAATAACTTTCTTAAACTATCCTGGATTTCTACCAAACATGGAAAGAAGCTTGTTTATGATCATAAGATAGTATCCAGAAGTAAATTTTGTAAAAAAAAAAATCCATTTTTTCCGTATTTTACTTATAAATGGACTTAATTTTTCTGCCAGTTAACATTACATTCACTTAGTGGTTAAAGTTTTTAAAATTTTAACAACTTTCTTAAACTATCCTGGATTTGTACCAAACTTGGACAGAAGCTTGTTTATGATTAAAAGCTAGTATCTAGAAGGAAAATTTGTTAAAATTTTGTTTGATTTTTTCCGTATTTTACTTATAAATGGACTTTGTTTTTCTTCCAGTTAACATTACATACAGTCTGCAGTTTAAGTTTTTAAAACATTTATTAGATTCATAAACTGTCCTGGATTTTTACCAAACTTGGACAGAAGCTACTAACAATCAAAAGATAGTATAGAGAGGAATATTTTTATTTATTTTTTTCCTCATTTTTGTTGAGCCTGTGATTAACAGCAAAAGTAGGCGAGACACTGGGTTCCGCGGAACCCTTACGAATTTTTTATTGTCTGTCTTTATTGTCGAGCCTGCGACTTTTGTTGCAAAAGCGAGACATAGCGATCCTACATTCCGTCATCGGCGGCGTCCACAAATATTCACTCTGTGGTTAAAGTTTTTGAAATTTTAATAACTTTCTTAAACTATCCTGGATTTCTACCAAACTTGGACAGAAGCTTGTTTATGATCATAAGATAGTATCCAGAAGTAAATTTTGTAAAAAAAAAATCCTGTTTATCTGTATTTTACTTATAAATGGACTTAGTTTTTCTACCAGTTAACATTACATTCACTCTGTGGTTAAAGTTTTTAAAATTTTAATAACTTTCTTAAACTATCCTGGATTTATACCAAACTTAGACAGAAGCTTGTTTATGATTAAAAGATAGTATCCAGAAGTAAATTTTGCAAAAAATAAATCCTGTTTATCCGTTTTTTTACCTATAAATGGACTTAGTTTTTCTGCCAGTTAACATTACATTCACTCTGTGGTTAAAGTTTTTAAAATTTTGATAACTTTCTTAAACTATCCTGGATTTCTACCAATTTTGGACAGAAGCTTGTTTATGATCAAAAGCTAGTATCTAGAAGGAAATTTGGTAAAAAGTTATTTCCTGTTTTTCCGTATATAACTTATAAATGGACTTAGTTTTTCTTCAAGTTAACATTACATACAGTCTGCAGTTAAAGTTTTTAAAACATTTATTAGATTCATAAACCATCCTGGATTTTTTCCAAACTTGGACAGAAGCTTCTTACAATCAAAAGATAGTATCTAGAGGAAAATTTTTAATAATTTTTCCCCATTTTTGTTGAGCCTGCGACTAACAGCAAAAAAGGCGAGACACTGGGTTCCGCGGAACCCTTACAAATTTTTTATTGTCTCGGCTGCACTCTTGAAGTCACATGGTATCTCATTATTTAAAACACTGTAAATGTTGACAGGTCATGTGGGAGCAGGAAGTAATGCTGCCATTGCAGCTGCAGCATCCCAGGCAATAGCAGCAACACAACAGGTATGTATCAATATCTGGGGCAATTTCCACAATTATGATATGTAAACAAAATATCACTGTGCAATGATACATGTTGTTATTTTCAATAATTGACTGAGCTTAATCATTTGTGCTGTTTTAAAGTGCAGATGATCATATAATAAAGATGTAAAAACTATTGAGTAATTAAATGTTTGCAAAGAACTGAATTTTAAATGATTTCCTTGTGTTATGATAGCTTTATTTACTTAATGAAGAGGCTTCACAAGGGCAAGCTTATTTCGAGATTTTGAATCGTACATGGTACCTAGAAAATTTAACCACATATGTTAAAATGTCTTGACTTTGAAAAGAGCCATCATACCCAAGAATGGACAGAGGAATTAAAAAAATGTAACTATTACAGCCTACCTGAAAGGAATTGCACTTATTAACACATCACATTCTCACATGACTTAAAATCAGCAGACAAAGCCTTTCAGGAATTAAAAGATATCAGGGCACACGTGCTTGCTTTAGCCAATATATATTCAATTAGCATGAATGCTTCATGCCAAGAGTTCTGTAAACACGTAATTTTCATGACTTTTATGCAGGTTTAAAGCTGTTATCCTAATGCTAGCAATTTAAAGGTTTGGTTGGCTTGCTTGCTTTGTTTGTATAAATGTTTGCTCAAGCATTGTAATTAAGATTGCCATCTGCAATCAATAGATAGGCGGGACTTCAGCTTGTTTACATTATACATAACATCCAATAACATTTAAGTATCAATAATGTATACAAGCTGAAACCCCGCCTATTTATTCATTGCAGATGTCAATCTTAAATACAATGCTTGAGCAAACATTTATACAAACAAAGCAAGCATGCCAACCAAACCTTTAAATTGCTAACATTAGGCTAACAGCTTTAAATATGCAAATTAAATATAAGTTGCCTCGACATACATGTATCAATATTGTTGCTTTCTACAAACAATCTGCTCACAATTTCTACATAATTCTACAAAATATTACAAAAATTTTGAAATTGATCCAGTGATTGAAAACTTTTACCAATGTAGTCAGCTGATTTGTTTTCTATTTACCAGTCTCTATCTTCACAGGATTTCATCTCTAGCGGCATAACTATTGAAACTAAAACTAATACTAGGCGTGCTGACCAAAGCAATAGAATCAAGGTAAAATATGACAGATAGACTTTAAAACCTCAACTCTATATGTCCTTGTAGTAGCAACTTATACAAATTGTATCTTGTTCAAACTAGGTATATTTATAGATTTTGATATAAATAGGACAATCAAGTCCATTGATATTCAATGTACCTGTTCAAGGTTATTCCTGGAACTTGTGTTGGGTGCACAAAAATCATAATACAGAAATTCAGAAATTTTTGCGAAAAATGTGACAGAAACGTTTTACAAAAAAAAAAAAACTCACAATTAAAATTTAAAAAATTATTATTTGTATGCAGCTTTTCCTGAAATAGCAATAATTATTCTTACATGTTTGCCCATTGTTCAACAATCACCATAATAAATACATGCAAAAAATTCTTTATAGTATACATTGTATTTCTTTATAGTATACATTGTATTTCTTTATAGTATACATTGTATTTCTTTATAGTATACATTGTATATTCTTTATAGTATACATTGTATTTCTTTATAGTATACTGTGGATTCATAATTATTCGTTGGATACCAATTTTTCGTGGATTTCGTGGTTACCAGTTAACCACGAAATTAAATGTTCAACGAATAACAAAATGTCTATAGGCTTGTTAGCAGACTTCGGTAAAACCACGAAATTAAATTTCCACAAGAATGTAAGTTTTCCTTAATCCACGAAAATTGCTACCCACGAAAAATAAATGAATCCACAGTACATTGTATTTTTTTTATAGTATACATTGTATTTCTTTATAGTATACATTGTAATTCTTTATAGTATACATTGTATTTTTATAGTATACATTGTATTTCTTTTGTAGTATACATTGTATTTCTTTATAGTATACATTGTATTTTTATAGTATACATTGTATTTCTTTTGTAGTATACATTGTATTTCTTTATAGTATACATTGTATTTTTTAAACTTTTTTTGTTAATCAAAAGTCTCGATTAAATAATAAAAGAATAAAATAATGGGAAGGAAGGAGTATTCTGTACATTTGTATACCATATTTTGTATGGTTATAGTTTACTTGAAATACAGAATTTACATAATACTTAAAGCAACATATTATTTAGTTTAAGTTTACATGGATTATCTATCAGGATTTTGAAGAACAGAAATCTGTTTGGATTACAATTGGGTAAACATGTTTTAATTTGATGAACTGCAAGATTTTGGCATTTAAAATACAATTTTTAATTATTTACTTTTTTGTGGTCCAAAGTGTTTGAATGAAATTCTTTTTCTTTGACAGCTACAGCATGGTAGACGCACACCAAGTATGAAAGCTAGTTTAATGGCCATGTCAGAATTAAGTAAAGAACTAACTATACCGAAAGATGTTTATAGTTCAGCACCTTCAACTCCTACAGCAAGTCATGAACCCAAAATATCCAGATCAAAAAAGTAAGTGTTATCTGAGGGACATGAAACACAAGATTTTTTTTTATAGATGTTTTAAAATGCTTGCTAGTTAAGTTATTAGCTTGTTACCTATCAGTTAAACATTTTATGACCCTTCCAATAATTCATATTTACAGTAAGTGTTCAATCCATTAAAATGCTGATCTTCTATTGGCTGATAGACAAATCATTTGATTTCGTCATATGCTTTCATTTTGTATGAAAGCAACCCAAGATTATAAGATTATTAGCCATGCTTACCTAATTAATCTCTTTTTTTCTTGAATTTTTCAATTACTTTGTGCAAATGCTTACGCTTTTTACAAAGTCACAATTTTTATTAATTTGAGAAAATTAGTTGACATCATATCTTGTAAATATTCATAATTGATATTAAATATGACAATAAATTATTAGCCTTTCATATACATGTATAAACATGATTGAAATTTGATGAATATTTTCAAGCTATCTACTTCTTGAAATCAACATCTTCATATATAGAAATAAGAAGATGTAGTATGATTGCAAATGAGACAACTCTCCACCAAAGACCAAATGACGTAGGAGTTTACAACTATAGGTCACAGTACAGCCTTCAACAATGAGCAAAACCCCATATTGCATAGTCGACTAAAAAAGGCCTTGAAATTACAAATGTAAACAATTCAAATGAGAAAACTAACCAATATGCCAATTTCAATTATAATTGATTTCAAATGAAACTATACTGCTTTCATCTCGCTAGACAATTTCTGCTGAAGTCTTGTGTTTAATTGAATGTGAATAACATTTATTTTTTTTATTAAAAAAATCTATGAATGCTAGAATTGAAAGATTTGTTTTTGGCAATTTATACAAAATGAAAGCAAGTGACCATCACATTTAAAGAAGTGCCGTAATAAATAAAAAAAAAAACAGCATTCAATTCTATAATAGTATATATAATGAATGTTTAATATATTTTAAGATTATAAAATTTAGATGTTATCAGATTTTGGCAGTTTTGATTTTGCTGAAAAAAAAATTGAAAGAAAAGATGAGCTTGAGGTCATTAAGATACTGGTTACTAATTTCATTATGCTAATGATAATATTTTATGCTGGCAATATATTGTTACTATCATCTTAAAAGAACCATGCTTCAGGGATATTGAAATTGTAATTGATATAATATTAGAATTATGGTCCTAGTCCAACTACTGTATCACTAGCCAGTCAACACTGAGGTTGTGAAATTGACTCCAATCTTAATTGACTAGGATTGTCAGTTTTCCTACAGAAGGTTGGTGGTTCTCTCCAGGCACTCTGGCTTCCTTCACCAATAAAAACTGACCGCCATGAAATAGCACAATAGTGTTGAAAGTGGCATTAAACACCAATCAATCAATCAATCTTTATAATTAGGTAGGAAAGATTTTATTACCACCACTTCTCCTTTGATCCTGAAAATAGCGGGGGAGAATCTTTAGGGCATTTAACAACCATTGCAAAGGGCTTACATATGCTTTTTCTGTTGACACTAAACTTAACATCCATTTATCTAATATTACTGTGTTTATTTTTAGACAAACTACCAAGGCAGCTCAACTCTCTCAGTCACAACAACAGTCCTCTTCACCTGCCATTGTCTCGGCAGCACAGTCATTACTGTCACAGAAACAACCTCTCACACCACAAACACCTGCTACTCCTGCTGAAGCCTCACCTCTAATACGAGAAGATGCCAACTCAGATTTACAGATTGTTGATGAACATGGACAGCCAATAGACTGGCAAAATGATCCAAATGAACCAAGATATTGTCTGTGTAACCAGGTGTCTTATGGTGATATGGTTGGCTGTGATAACGATGATGTGAGTATTGGATCATTATTTCAGTGTGATTGTTAATGCTGATATAATGAAGAATTCAAACTGAAATATATTGCATCATAGGGAGTTTCATTCAAGGGCTGTTCCAAAATTGATCGTGGAGGTGGGGATTCCAGGCACTTGAATTTATTATTTGTGGATGGTTCCATTTTCTTTAGAATTTTGTAAGAGTTTGTACAAGTAAAATGAAATTATTATATTATGGGTGTTTGGCTCTAAAAAATGTCTCCTATGTCCCCCATGCATTCTGGAACAGCCCTATGATAATTATTGGTTGCTCAACATTCAGCTTCTTATAGGGCGGACATAATTTCAGGAATCAGTTAAATCAACTTTGTTTAATGAACAATGATGAAATGGAAAAGATAGAAGAAAGTACTGATAATTAGAAAGTTTGTCCATCACTGGATAAAGAAATTAAATGATTTTTGAGTTAATTAAAAATAAATTTGGTGATTGATAGATGGTCTTCTTTTTTAATACCTATGACTTTAGACTGGGAGGGATGATAAATTCTTCCGACAAACCATTTTAAATTTGTTTTAAAAGGATATGTATTAATGCATAGTAGTGTAAGTGACAATTGTGATATTTCAGTCCGTATTACATTATTTTATTGAATATGTCTTTAAATATTTTCTTTGCTTTTTCAGTGTCCTATAGAATGGTTCCATTATGGTTGTGTTGGTCTTACTCAGGCACCAAAAGGAAAATGGTACTGTCCTCAATGTACAGCAGCAATGAAGAGACGTGGTCGAAAATAACAGTAGATCTGTTGTGTTGTGCATGTGTTGCTTATGAATTTATAAACAGTAATGGTCTGGGTTTTTTTCACAGACTTGTGTGAATGGGACTTTGTTGTAATAAAATACAGTTGTTTGAATGTTTTATAAACGTACCTCAGTCTATATAAAAAGCTGTTTTGTATTTGTTAACTATCACTTTATGCTAACTTTCTCAGTCTTAAATATTCTCTACGATAAAGTCTTAGATTCCATAGAATACTATATATCATGTTCAGGAGGGTTATTTTGTGTATCATACCAGTCTTTAAGATAATTTTACCTTCTCACCATGTATAGTTTGCAAATATGCCTTCTGAGAATGATATTTCTGTTCAGTAAAGGCTGTTGCTCATATTTAATTTTATCAGAAAACTATATTGTAAATGGCATTTATAATCAAAACTAAGGATAGGTTCTATTTTTTTTTAGTTCAAAATTAGCATACTGTGGATTCATTATTATTCGTTGGATACCAATTTTCGTGGGTTTCGTGGTTACAGGTGAACCAATCCTCGAAAATTGATACCCACAAAAATAAATGAATCCACAGTATTAATTTTTAAATGATTGCTGAATTTTATGGACTTTGCAATTAAAGGAGCCTAATAATACCTCCTATCCTACCTCTTCTTTCAATATGTAACTTTTAGGTCAGTGTTGGTCCATATTCATACACCCATTTTCGTCAATTCTCAGTTTTCCTCTGCATTGATAAAAAGTGATATAAAAGAAACTACGGTAGGAGGATTCAAGACAATGTGCTGTTTTTTTACCAAAAGGACAAACATTCAAAGTACTAGTCTTACAGGTGTAATACCACCAAATCATAGTACGTCACATCCGGTTGCATACGAAAATAGGTCGAAAAAAAATATTCCCTTGAATTTGACAGTTGTAGGTAATTGATCCTACATTTCATTGCAGTAAAACATTTCTGAGTCATAAACATATATCTTGGGTATTTCAAAGCACCATTATTTCTTTATTTGGGGTTTCTATAGAATATTTTGGAAACTTGAGGTTACATGGTTACTAAAGCTTGTACACAGGTTAAAAAAGGGGGAAAATTTGATTGGTTAACTTCCAGTGATGGTTATTTTCTTATATGCAATGAAATGTTATGTGAAATTTTTTCTATAGTACTGGACAGGATAAAACTTTACTCATGCCAAGTATTTCTTTATTTGAAACAAAGATAAATTCTGCACAATTTTTTGAAAAGTGCAAATTTAACAAAGACTAATAGGGAAAAATCAATGGTGGTATTACACCTAATATGGGAAGCTGTACATGCACCTTTGACCTAGTGAGTACTCTCATGTGTTAAAATTTCTTGCTATTTAAGTGAAATATTACAAATAATGAAATATTCTGAGTGGATTGAGTCTCCAAAATACATTTTATGAGAAAATTTCCTTGAAATAGGACTTTACCATGAATATTAGTTGACAGAACAAGCCATACTTAGAGTATTGGGGAGCTTTTTCTCCTTATTTCTTATATTCTGCTATACTAGAAAATGTTTCCTAAGAAATACTTTAATAAATATATAGTTTTAAGTAAATGAAATTATTTTTAAAGCAGTAACAACAAATTATTCACCAAAAGAGAAGTTTTTTATGTCCCTCTCTGGAACGCGGCGTAAATTTAAGTTTTACGCAAGGACTTATTGAAACCTCCTTGGAGACAATAAACTTTTATACGGATAGTTCAAGCAGCTTGAATACTTCAATTAATCATTTATAATAACATTTCTATCATAAATGAGTGAAAGTTACCCCAAAATTTTTATTTATTGGCCTAAAAAGTAGAAATTTTGAGGAAATGAGAGGTATAAATGGACCCAAAGAGACTTTATAAGGAAGAATAAGAGGTCCATTAGTAGTATTTATCATCCTAAAGTCATCTTTTGTATCATATTCAAATGTTTGTAGGCAGATGAGATAAATATTTGATCATTTATTGGTCCACACTATATTCTATCATGATGCGGTTTGGTTTGAATTTTTCGAAGAAATTTTGCTCGAATCGCTGTAGATGTCGTCTTACATTATACTAGATTTTTCTCAAACTATTGAACTGATTATGACAAAACTTGACAGGAATGCTTGAAATAACCAGTATTACAAAGGAAAAAAGTCACATTCAGTTTATTCAACAAAAAAGTCTTCTTTAGGTGTAATACCACCAAATCATAGTACGTCACATCCGGTTGCATACGAAAATAGGTCGAAAAAAAATATTCCCTTGAATTTGACAGTTGTAGGTAATTGATCCTACATTTCATTGCAGTAAAACATTTCTGAGTCATAAACATATATCTTGGGTATTTCAAAGCACCATTATTTCTTTATTTGGGGTTTCTATAGAATATTTTGGAAACTTGAGGTTACATGGTTACTAAAGCTTGTACACAGGTTAAAAAAGGGGGAAAATTTGATTGGTTAACTTCCAGTGATGGTTATTTTCTTATATGCAATGAAATGTTATGTGAAATTTTTTCTATAGTACTGGACAGGATAAAACTTTACTCATGCCAAGTATTTCTTTATTTGAAACGAAGATAAATTCTGCACAATTTTTTGAAAAGTGCAAATTTAACAAAGACTAATAGGGAAAAATCAATGGTGGTATTACACCTACAGAAAACTTAAATCTATTGTCAACATTTGATCTTTTCTCTTGTCAAATCAGAAAGGAAGAAAAAAGAATGCTACAATTTACTGTTGATTTTTCAGTCAAAAGTATGAGTGAGAACCAGCAAACTATCATACTAACCCTCTCATCCAAATAATTCTGATTAGATATATTGTTTGGTTCTAACTAGTTACAAAATTAAAACAGATTAAAGAGTAAAGACATGTATACTTCTGACTCCATCAAAACTACTTGGACCCTACTACCAAATATATAACATTTATATAATACCACAAAGAAAAATTACAGAAAGGTAGAACATATGTAAAAAAGATATTTTTTAAATGTTTAGTTTTATATCTGTATGTGTGGTTTAGCTTGTGAATGACTGGATAAATTACCAGATAACATATATATACTGATGCAACTAATGTAATATATAAATGAATGTGTGATATTGTTATCAATATAAAAGTGCTCAAAGATTCCTTTGTAATTTTTTTAACAATTATCTTACAGTTTTTAGCTCACCTTGTCTGAAAGGCCATGCGAGCTATTGCCAAAGCATTTCGTCTGTAAACTTTTCTTTAAAAATTTTCTATGAAACCAAATCTCAAAATTTGTCTACCTTGAACTTTTTATTGTTGTCCTGGGCTTAGGGTCATAAAAATTTCGAGCACGATTATCGTACTCAGACTCAGAAATCAACCAATCAAACTACTGGATTTGGCGTCTTGAGCATAAATTTTGTATTCGGAGTAATGAGTAAGGTTTTATGACCAAGAGACCTGGTGGATCACCATGGCTAAAACTGCAATTTTGGCAAATATCTTGAAAACTAGCAATTAGTGGGATACTAACAACTGTAAAGAAGGTAAGCACAACAACCTCTATCTACCCTGAAAAATAGGATGACCCATTTTATAGTTATTGGCAGGGAAATGTTGATTTTTAACTTTTTGGCAGTTTTTGGCTATTGTATAGAAAACTAAAAGAGCTACTTAAAAGTGTTAAAACAACAATTATTGACAGACAATTCTATTTACATCATAATTTCAGGAAAAAACTTGACAACCCAATTTTTTATACGACCGCAAAAATTAAAAATTTTTTGGTCGTATAATTGTATGACATTGGCGTCATCGGCGGCGTCGTCGTCGTCCGAAGACACATTGGTTTTCGCACTCTAACGTTAGTTTAAGTGAATGGATCTCCATGAAATTTTACCATAAGTTTCAATACCACAAAAGGAAGGTTGGGATTGATTTTGGGGGTTATGGTACCAACAGTTAAGGAATTAGGGGCCAAAAATAAGCATTTTTGTAACTTCCAGACATAACTTGTGTGTTAGTGTATGGATCTCTCTGACATTGTACCACAAGGTTCCATATCACAAAGGGAATGCTGGGATTGATTTTTGGGGTAATTGCCTCAAAATTTTAGGAATTAGGGGCCAAAAAAGGGGCAAAAAACAAGCATTTTTCTAGTTTCATGATAATAACTTGTGTGTAAGTGTATGGATCTTTCTGAAATTGAACTACAATGTTCCATATCACAAAGGGAAAGCTGGAATTGAGTTTGGGGGTAATTGCCCAAAACGTTAAGGAATAAGGGGCCAAAAAGGGGCCAAAAATAGCATTTTTCTAGTTTCAAGACAATTACTTGTGTTCAAGTGTATGGATCTCTCTGAAATTGTACTGCAAGGTACCATACCACAAAGGGAAGGCTGGGATTGATTTTGGGGTAATTGCCTCAAAATTTTAGGAATTAGGGGCCAAAAAGGGGAAAAAAACAAGCATTTTTCTAGTTTCAGGACAATAACTTGTGTTCAAGTGTATGGATCTCTCTGAAATTGTACTGCAAGGTACCATACCACAAAGGGAAGGCTGGGATTGAGTTTGGGGGTGATGAATCATAAGGGGGTTCAAAAAATTTGGGGGGGGATTTTTTTTTTTTTCCTTTTTTTTCTTAATTTACTTTTTTTTTTTCTTTTAAAATTTTCCATTCTAACATTTTAAGTTGGTTATTTCTGATTTATATTTAAAAGCAAATAATAATGATATGGTAGGAGAAACACACCAAACAGGATGTGTAAATTATTATATAATAAGTATTGTGCAATAGCATGAAATTTTCAATTGCACAGTATTGCACAATAGCAAGAAATCTTCAATTGCACAGTATTGCGCAATAGCAAGAAATCTTCAATTGCACAGTATTGCACAATAGCAAGAAATATCCAATAGCACAATTTTGCGCAATAGCAAGAAATTGTCAATTGTACAGTATTGTGCAAAAGCAAGAAATATTCAATTGCGCAGTATTGTGCAAAAGAAGATACTTCGTATAAATTGCTTATTTCTTGACCAATTTCAATGGGGTTTTATTCTTGAATTCTTGGGGTTCTTTAATATGCTGAATCTAACCGTGTATTTAGATTCTTAATTTTTGGATATTGGGCCCCGTTTTTAAATTGGTCCACATTGAGGTCCAAAGGGTCCAAAATTAAACTTTGTTTGATATCATCAAAAATTGAATTATTGGGGTTCTTTGATATGCCGAATCTAACTGTGTATTTAGATTCTTAATTTTTGGTTCCGTTTTCAAATTGGTCTACATTAAGGTCCAAAGGGTCCAAAATTAAACTTAGTTTGATTTTAACAAAAATTGAATTCTTAGGGTTCTTTGATATGCTGAATCTAAACATGTATTTAGAGTTTTGATTATGGGCCCAGTTTTCAAGTTGGTCCAAATCGTGGTCCAAAATTAAACTGTTTGATTTAAACAAAAATTGAATATATGGGGTTCTTTGATATGCTGAATCTAACCATGTATTTAGATTTTAGATTTTTGGGCCCCCTTATCAACTTTGTCCACATTGAGGTCAAAAGGGTCCAAAATTAAACTTTGTTTGATTTCATCAAAAATGAATTCTTTGGGTTCTTTGATATGCTGAATCGAACCATGTGTTTAGATTTTGGATATTGGACCATAATAGGTGAATGTCCAATTTAAAATTTTTAAGTTCTTAGACCACATTCATTCTGTGTCAGTAACCTATGCTGTGTCAAATATTTAATCACAATCCAAATTCAGAGCTGTATCAAGCTTGAATGTTGTGTCCATGCTTACCCCAACTGTTCAGGGTTCGACCTCTGCGGTCGTATCAAGCTGCGCCCTGCGGAGCATTTTATTGGTTTTTGTCCCTGAAAGGTAATTTTTGCCAGATTTCCCACTTTCTGCTGTTATCTTTAAAACTCTAGGAGCTAGGCTAAAGCGTAGAATGATCAGCATGACAAGATCTATCAAAAGTAAAACTTTGAGATAATTTGAAAACCTGTTTTTGGAGTTATTGCCCCTAAAATATCAACATTTAGTCTAATTTTAGGGCCTAGAGGTGAGCCCTTCTTCCAAACAACAAGGCGGACATGGTTAAAAAAAAGTGCAACGGTAGAAGTTTAAATAGCAAACAAAGATCAACATGACTGAAATTGTCAGCTGTTATCTTATAAGAGTTATTGCTCTTAAATGACAATTTTTGCTAATTTTTATACTCCTGTCAAAATTTTGAAGGGACGTATTATGGTATACAAATGTCCGGCGTCCGTCTGTCTGTCTGTCTGTCCGGCGTCCACATATCGCACTGTAACTTGAGAACAACTTATCCAAATTTCATGAAACTTAACATAGTTGTTTCTTATGATGTATACTTTTTGGTAAACGCAAATGTGTAGGGGTGGCCAGCAGCAGACTCTACGTTTTCCTTGAAATTTTAGATTTGACCTTTGACCCAAATTTAAGAAAATCGTGACCACTTTAGACGACGACGACATCAATATTTCGACGAGGCTTGTTCTCCTCTTTCCAATGATATAAAATATAGCCGTGTGTTATTCCGTTAACCCAAATCGATCAAATTTGTTGACTGGGCACCTTACTAATTATTTTGTCTGTTTTTCTATCAAAGAAGTATTTTTACGGCCGTGGCTTATATATCAAACTTTATTCAAATTAGAGACAGATCAATGTTGATGTGATGTATATTTTGACCATTTATAATCAAAGAAATATTGATTGAAAGTATGATATGACTATAAGACTAAAACCATAAATAAGCATTTGCTATGATGAAAAGGAAAATTGAATGTCCTTGTACGTTAAAAGTGACAAGTGTAATGGGCATATGGATGTTGATTTTATCAAGAAATTGTACTCGTATATACAGTTCCTTGATTCTATAGTGGTTACAACTATTGCGTAATAGCCACACTCGTATACAGGTTCAATAATTTATTATAACGATGTTAAAAATCGATTATTGGCATGTATTGACAATGAATGCTGAAATTAATTACATGTAACGTGTCTACGAATTTACTGGCTGCAAGAGTAACCATAACCATAAAATGTTTCCATGTACCTCGCGTCGGTTTGCTGCATGATGAGTTGTTAGGTTGAATTTTTTCGAATCGTCTAAATCGAACTAAACGGAGGATTAATTTTCCCCTTTTCTCTTCGTCTTCAAGGAATTTTTTAAAGTCGAATTGTGATAGCGCTAAATGAGTCTCAACGTTAATAAACTACCACCCATTTTAGACATTGGGATGGAAAATGAAAACAAATATTGTGTCACGTGATCAGTTCTTGGGTCTACTCGAATATCACATTACTGTAATGAGGAATGAGCACGAAAATAAACTGAAAAAAAATATCTCCAAAATAAGTGGATCCAAAAACAAAAAACGAGACAAAATCCAATACTTGGTCAATACTTTTCAATACATATTATTCCTCATAGAAAAAGAAAAAAAAGGTTCTTTTTTTTTTATAAATTTTATGTTTTCTTTATTTTATTGATTTCTTATTTATACGTGTTGTATTTACGTTTGTCTGATTTCTCTTTCTTATTTAATTTTCATACGTCATGTATTTTTTAATTTCATAAATTATTTATTCATATTTTTGTTGTTTATTTTTATTTGTTTGAACGGACGTATGTTGTTTATTTGGGAGTGGTGGGCGTATGAGCCTAGGTAGAGACAGCTGCCCCTACTTTTAAAAAGGGAGGGGGGGGGGGCAAAAAGGTATTTTGTTCGAGTGGTGGGGTATATATATGCAGGGGCATAAGAGTCGGGGAAAGGTGACAATACCCGCTTCACAAACTGTCAAAAATGGCTACCATAGTGAACATTAACTTACTTCTAAATTACTAGACTAGTCTAGTCTTTTTTATTTGCTTGCCACTTTAAGGAGTCTCCCCCTTTTCAATATACTCCTACGTCACTGATATGTATCAAAGTTATTATATAAATTAATCAACAATAAGTTCAACCGGACATAGCCCGAGAAGCTCTAGTGTTAACGCAAAAACCCTAATTTATTAAAGACTGAATATCTCCAAACAACGTAGTACATTATACAGTATGGACATTTTTTTGTGTTGAATCTTTTTAATTATGCAATCGTCTTTCAAATGAAAAAATGT